TATTCAAAATTCGAATGTATTCGGTAGTTTTCTTTTTAAAGAGCAGTTGATCTAAGTCTTTATTATCTTTTGTATTGTATATCAACATTTTATATCAATTTTCTTCTTCTTTAGACTTTGAAAATCTTTGTTTTCCTGAACATTCTTCAAAAAAGCTAATTGAAATTGTCTAAATTTTGTCAATGCTTTTTGAGTTGATCTAAATTTAATGTAAATTTGATAACAAAGATTTTCAAGCTAGATAAATGTCCGGGAGAAAAAGGGGGGCACATCCGCGCGAAATAAGGCAAAAAAAAAACGTTTTCTATCAGAATTTCACGTTTGAATATCCATTCGACGCAGAAAATTGTGCTGAATCGAAAAGGTGAAGAAATTATCGAAATCCGTCTGACTCGATTTTTTTAAAACCACCTTTTATCGAAAAAACCGCACTTTTACAATGAACTCGCTCGCCGCGACCAACTTTCGGTGGCTCGTTCTCAGCGTGGTCGAAAGATTGTGCCCTCAAAATCGATAACTTTTGTGTGCACGTGTGCAAAGATCATTTTGATACCCGGAGGGGGCACAAGAAGTGGATGTGTTTACACATAATTTGGCACACACAAAGTACAGCCAAAAGACTTGCTCACAGATCTACTCAATCAATTGAACTCTACCGTTTCTCTTGCCAAGAATTAGTAACCAATAAGTGACACTAAAATTGAAAGGAAAAAAAGGCGATAATAAATATTTGTCTTTCTCGCAATTCGGCCTTCTCAAGAAGGCAAATAGAATTTTTTTCGCGCTTTTTTTTTCAAATGACAATTCGTCACATAGAAAATATCCAAATGATTGTTTTTCTTTCTTTTCTTTTCTTTTCTTATTACTTTTTACTTTCATTCTTAGTTTCGAATTCAAATTTGCTCTCATTAAAATTGAACTTGTCTTTCCTTTCCTTCTTTTCTAACTACCCCACTCAACTAAAAGGTGATAAAGTAAGCGGATAAACTATCAAATTCTACTTACAATACTTGTTAGCTGAATAGTGAAATACAAATAAAGTTTACAAATATAATATTTACATAAAATTATTCACGTTTCCCTCAAATATAATATTCAAATGATTGTTTTTTTCTTTTCTTTTCTTTTCACTTTTTACTTTCATTCTTAGTTTCGAATTCAAATTTGCTCTCATTAAAATTGAACTTGTCTTTCCTTTTCTTCTTTTCTAACTACCCCACTCAACTAAAAGGTGATAAAGTAAGCGGATAAACTATCAAATTCTACTTACAATACTTGTTAGCTGAATAGTGAAATACTGAAATCCCACTTACAATACTTGTTCACATTTAATATTCAAAGCTTTTATTTCACATAAATCTGTGAGCCTTTCTCTTCAAATTTTTGTTAAAACATTGACAAAACTTGTAATTTGTTAATGCCGTTAATCCAATGCCACTTCATTAACTCAAAAAATCCATTTCAAGTTTACAAATATAATATTTACACAAAATTATTCTATTTTCCCTCAAGAAACCCCGTTTTTTTTCCGAAAAAATGATTCATTTTGTGATTCAGCGCTGCCAAAAAACTAATTCCAGATTCGGTTTGTATAAATGACAAGTGAATATCGATTTTTCTATCGATTCTATTTTCTATTATCAATTTTACAATTCTATTCAATATTACCTACTGAAGGGAAAAGCTCGAAATGCGAATGTCAAAAAGTTTCCGAAATCTCGGAAATCCCGGAAGATTTGAAGAAAAGCAGGAAATTTGAGTTGTGCCGGAAAAATGATTGCAAGTTTTTCAAGCTAGCCGTTTAATTTTCTTTATTTTTGTTTATTTTTGTTTATTTTTGTTTATTTTTGTTTATTTTTGTTTATTTTTGTTTATTTTTGTTTATTTTTGTTTAATTTTGTTTATTTTTGTTTATTTTTGTTTATTTTTGTTTATTTTTCTTTATTTTTCTTTATTTTTCTTTAATTTTCTTTAATTTTCTTTAATTTTCTTTAATTTTCTTTAATTTTCTTTAATTAATTTCATAACCTAGACGAAATCCAAGTTCAACTCGTTCTTTGGTGTACTTTGTGCAAACGCATCCCTCCTGATCTTTTGATTCAAACATAAACTCCAACTAATCTATATTAGGCTTTTCCGAAACTGTATTTTGTGATCAAATCTTCTAAACGCATCCCTCCTGGTGCACTTGTTTCCCCATTTTCTTTTGGCATCAAGTGGCTGGTGTGGAAAAATTGAGTGCATCAGTCAAAGAGTGCACGCATTGAGCAGCACAAAGACTTGTAACTATTTATAAGTATAACTATGTAACTAAATTATAAGTTGAGTTGTTGTTAGCTCTTAATAGAGTGTGTTCCTCGCGAGTAATGCGTTTTTTTAAAACGTGCACTAGGGAAAAAATTACCGTCCTTTTAATAATAATACTTTATTCAAACGATAAAGTGAAAGAAATCATAGAGAAATGCACAGTGATACTTAATCATACAATACATACTGAAATCAATAAGCCAATTACTTACGGCAAAGAGCCACTAGATCTAAAGCATTTAGCAAAAATTATTGCAAAAAAGCAAATTATTGCAAAAAAAATGACGAGACCCGCATTATATACGACACTTTTTAAAGATACTCAGCCGTTTAACTGATTTGGTGGCAAATTCCCTTCCAATGTGAAAAGGGATTTTTTTTTGAAAAACCTGCGCAAAAAATTGCTTTTATATTTCTTTCGCGCAGGCGCACTTTTTAGAAAACGCATTACTCGAGCTATTACTCGAGCAATTACCCAAGCTATTACCCAAGCTATTACTCGAGCTATTACTCGAGCTATTACTCGAGTAAAAATTACTCATGCAAATTTACTCGGGTAATTACTTACTGGCGAGGAACACACTCTAGTGCACGCATTCAGCAGCACAAAGTACACTTTTAGAGTAAGAAAAGTCTTAGGAATGCAAGGAAATATCAAAGAAATATCAAAGAAAAACTAGCTGTTGATGAATCTACTTGTAGAATCAAAAATGATATGTAAACTTTTCAGATTTTCATCTAAACATCACTTCGACCCGTTTAGAGTATTTGGGAACGATCTTTGTATGAAACATTTTTGTAATTTGATTCAAAAATTCATTTAGACATTCGACAATTCGACACTCGACGATCAGTTTAGAAAATCGAAAATCTTGAACTACGATCTAACAGAGATTTGCAGTGTTATGTTGCCAAAAATTCAAGGAGAATACATAGTTACCGGTAATAGATTTCAATAGAAAAATAACAGATAAACTAGCAGAAAAACTAGTAGATAACTAGAAGATAAACTAGTAGATAACTAGTAGATAAACTAGTAGATAACTAGTAGATAACTAGTAGATAACTAGATGATAAACTAGTAGATAACAAGCAGATAACAAGCAGATAAACTAGTAGATAAACAAGCAAATAAACTAGCAGATAAACTAGTAGATAAACTAGTAGATAAACTAGTAGATAAACTAGCAGGTAAACTAGTAGATAACAAGCAGGTAAACTAGTAGATAACAAGCAGATAACAAGCAAATAAACTAGTAGATAACTAGTAGATAAACTAGCAAATGAACTAGTAGATAACAAGCAAATAAATACTCTAATAAAACACTATCTCCTCTTATAGTCGTGTTGTTTAACTTCTTTCTAGAAAATCATTTGTATTTTCTCAGCCTCTTCATTTCCCAACTATAATTTTAGTACCAAAACATACTAGATTTCAAGGGCTATCATTTGACATCATTTAAAACACTGTAGCATAAAGCAGTGCGAAGAACGGCATGTTCAAAGTTAGACTACACGAGTGTACGCTCATCATTAAAAAAGCAGCTTTCTATTTGATTATTTACGGTAGATTTGTGTTAAATTTAGGTAAAATTCATGGAAAAACCTTCAAAACGGATCGATGTTTGCATTATCAAAAGAAATATTCAATCAAGGTTGGGAAAAGATTTTGTTTTGATTTACTTTTTGAAGTGTAAACGCAGCCCTTCTTGTGCACTCAGCTCTTCATTTTTCTTTCATTTTACGAGAAAATGAAGAGTTAACGTGCACCAGAAAGAGTGTGTTTACAAGATTTTCAGCAAAAATTACAGAAAAGATTCTTTTTTTGAGTACAAAGTACAGAAAAGCTTCAATCGAATAAGAAAAAGAAGCTTTTTAAAGATTTTTTTCTTTTAAACTCTCTTTCTTTCCTTGGATATCAAATTACATTTTTTTTGATCTGTCTTCGCACTTAGATGTTCCTATTTGCGCAGATCATAACCTGCTTTTCTCTATCCCTTGCTATTGTCATCCAGTGTTTCCTATCTTGGTTGTTCCTGGTTCGAAGTCTTCGACTTGCTTGTGCTGGTGGTGTATATTTGTATATTTGCCCCAAAAACAGTTGAACACTTTTTATTTTAAAAAAGTCAAAATAATTTGATTGATTTTGATAAATTGTAGGTGAAAAACGATCTTTTCTCTCTTCTCAGCAATTGTCCAAAAAATCGTTTCGAAATCGAGAGTTGGATCGGAAAACGAAAGAAAAGCTCTAATTTTTTCGATTTCCTTCATTTTTCTTCTCTAACCATTCCTCTAGTCACAATTTCCATTGCCATTTTCACCTTTTGTCTCTTCTCGTTTGTGTATTTTTAGTGAAAAGACAAAAACAGTACACCCATGTACCCGTGGAGAGAAGTTATGATGAAAAAGATTTCGATTAATAAAAGATTAGATAAAGATTAATATCTAATCTTTATCTAATCTTTATCTAATCTTTATGATCGTTTTTCTCTTAGAAATTTGCAAGGGTAAATGCGCCACCTTCTCACATCAAAATCTCTATTCTTTGCTTGAAAGATTTGACTATTTCAATAATTTTAAATAATTTATCGATTTCCTAAACAATTTTTAACCCTTTCCTTTGTGATAACCTTTGTTTATTTATTTGATTTATAAATATTTTATTGTCAAAACTGTAAAAAAATAGAAAATTAAGCGATCGCCTCATTGTCTTTTCCCTTTTCAACTTCTTGTTGCTCATCTGCTGATAGAACGTGAGCCAAATCGGCAAAATAACGACGACATCTTAAAAATAAATACCGTTCTTCTTCCTTCTTAAACTTCCTTTTCAACCTACCTTATTTTCTCTAATAGTAGTGCACCCGGGCGAGCCGAGTTGGTGACTATTTTACAGTTTCTAAGTTTCCGCAGAAGCTCAACACTCAAATCCCCCACTAGAGCTCATCGTCAGCTACATTGTCAGCCACATCGATAGGTTCTGATAAGCGCTTCTCGAGATTACGAGGAATTTAGGCAACGCTACTATTAGACTACTATTAGAGAGAATACGGTAATATAGTTATTCGAAAACTATTACTATTAAAAGGTCTAGCTCTTAAGTTAGACTAATAGAGTGTTTTGGCAGATTTTTAAGTAGATATCAGGTTCTTTAGCAGTCAGGCATTTTATGGCTTAGGCTTAGGCTTAGGGCTTAGGGCTTAGGCTTAGGGCTTAGGGCTTAGGCTTAGGCTTAGGCTTAGGCTTAGGGCTTAGGCTTAGGGCTTAGGCTTAGGCTTAGGCTTAGGGCTTAGGCTTAGGCTTAGGCTTAGGCTTAGGCTTAGGCTTAAGCTTAAACGGCTAAGTGCTAATCTGGTTTAACTCCAGTCTGGTACTAGATGTAAATTAGCACTTTGATCTAGAAATAGATCGATTGAAAGTCTAAGAGCTGTAAGCGTATGAGAATGATTCAACAAAATCTTAAGGTCATAAGCAAGCACCATGTCGCTGTGAATTACTTGCAAAATGTAAACAAATCATTTCTGATACAATAAATAACATTCTTTCATACTTTGCACATTTAGGCTATTGATTATTGTAAATGAAATATGTAAATGAAATATCTTTTAAACCATCACTCACCGCCAAACTATATAGAAAAAGAAAAGATAGCAGATGATCGCCGTTCCATAGTTTGCCGCAAGCCAGATCCCGTAGTGGATTCGTGCCAATTCTAGAAATCGATTCAAGTTTGAGAATAGGAAATTGAAGAGCTAATCAATCGTAGAATAATGAATTTCTTTTATTAGAAGATTTTTTTTCAATCATTTAGATATTTTGTGGTATTTCACTTACTTCGATCATCGAAATCGGGACTGCCGGCGGATTCAAGCTCTCGTCTGAAATTTTCATTATTTCTTTGTATTCCATTGCTTTTTTTCTTTGTGGCTTGGCAGATGGCTTGGCTTTGAAAAGTCTGTAAATCAAATAAAATCATTAGATCAGATCAGATTAGATCAGATCAGATCATCAGATCAGAGCAGATCAGATCAGAGTATCAAATCAGATCAGATCATCAGATCAGATCAAATCAGATCAGATCAGATCAGAGCATCAAATCAGATCAAATCAGATCAGCTCAGCTCAGATCAGATCAAATCAGAAAATTCTGTTGATCAGACAAGGCCAGGCCTAGGATATTCTCTCTAATAGTAGTGCTCTAATAGTAATAGTAGTATTGCGATCCTGGAGGGAGTTGAAAAAATAATATTGCGCACTACTATTAGAGAGAATATGGTAGAACAATAATATACAATAATAAACAATAATATAGGGTTGTTTGTCCGTACAGAAACGCTCCAAAAAGCCAGGCTCCGTCAACAATAAGAGAATTGGGATTTTAAGCCTTCGCCTTGTCTTGTCCTTGTCTTTTTATCTTAAATTACTCAAAGTTCTCCTTTTTGTCTAACCCAGGCCACAATTATCATAATTGGCAAAACCGTTTTCCCTTCACCTTGCTTCCATCATTTTCTCGGATCCCCAATCAAACATTCCCTCAATCCCTTGATACAAATTGTTGCCAATAACGAAGATTTTGAAACCCTGAACATTTTATAATCAATAACATCAATCAATAGCCATTTTTTCTACCTGAATGAATAAAAATGGCAACAACGAGTTCTTCGCCTCGATGACAAGACCGCAGAAAAGAACGATCGAACTCAAGCACTCCAGCGGGATGAAAAGAACCTGAAAGTTTGAAGAAAATTGAAGAAATTGAAGTTGAATTTTGAAGTTTAAAAGCAAATATTTTATTCTCACGAACTTTCCACGGATCCAATGCGCCAACGAAAAGCATTGCGACGTGATAGAAAATGAGTAGAATGTTCAGGATTAGGACGACACAACTGGCGTGCTGAAAACTCGGGGAATACACAATACGAAATGTTCCCAAAGCTCACCTATCATTTAATATTCTAATCGGGATTTACAATTACCTGTAAATACTGTAATAGTACCCCACCGCCCCTCGTACAGTCGCGTAGTCGCAAAAGTTTTTTAGTATTTCATTTTTTTTCAAAGCGCCCGTACTTTCAAAAAATATGTCTTTGATATCAAAAAAAGCCCTGAATTTCAGCTATTTTTTGATACCTAAGCGCGCATTCTCGCATAAACCAGTGTCGAGAAAAACGCGTTCAAAGCTAGACTACGCAACACTCCGCACCGTCATTATGGGGATGGGGTACTATTACAGTATTTACGGTAAGTAAATCAGGACCTAGAAGATTGTTTCAAAAGCAATTTTTGGCTTGACCAAGGAAGAGTAAAGTAGAAGATAAATAAGGTAATGCTGGAATAAAGTGACCCCACTATAGGAGCGTTGCGTCGTCTAAGTATGCTCTTAAACAAACGCTCATATCACGACACTAGTACGTTGGTTTTTGCGCGCTTTGGTATCAAATTAAAGTATAGAAAATGGGTAATTTTTCGAGATATACCACATATTTCTAGCATCAGACAGCGCTTAGAAAAAAAATGATTGAAAAGTGGCAAAAATCGGCTTTTTTGCTACATTACACTCAAAGAACCGCTCATATCTCGACGCGCAGACATTTGCTTCTGCGCGCTTTGGTATCAAATTAATGTCCAGAAAATGGGTAATTTTTCGAGATATAACACATATTTTTAGCATCAGCCAGCGCTTAGAAAAAAATGATTGAAAAGTGGGGAAAATCGTCACTTTTTTTAAACAATTAAACGATGATTTGTTTCATTAGAAAGCCAAATTCTTAGAGTCAACCTTTCAGAATCTAATCGTTTACATGTATTTCATGTAAACCCTTTCAAACCCTTTATTTCTAGGCTCTCTGAATGCCTGGTTGAATCATTTCTTAACCTTAATATGCATTCCACAACAGCAACAACATTTAAAGAGATATTTCACATCTCGATACTCGAATTCTCGATTCCGATGTTCGATTTTCCACACTCTTTGCAAACGACCCATTTCACAGGGAAACTGAAAAGTCAAAGAGCTTTTAAAGAAATGAAACACCAAGAAAAAAAAGAGGAAAAAAAACAAAGAAACAATCAAGCATTTAAGCATCAAATGCTCAATTATAAACAAAATTTTTTGATTTAAAATCCCCCGAGTGAGTCACTAATCAAATTGAATCCAAATTGAGCTGAAATTGAGCTGAAATTGAGCCTAAATTTGCAAAAATTCCCCTCCCCCACAAAACCCCAAGCAATTCCCCAAAGAGTTAACGTTGATCAACTATTTTTTTTTGGAAAAAACGATCCATTTAGCTGAGAGATAATGGTTTTCGATTGGAAAAACCCGAAAAAATCCGTGGGCGTTGAGAAAAACGGCCTTGAATCGAAAACTTTTTCCATTTTCCAAATTTCTTTTTTTTGTAGCTCAAAAATCTCTTTCCACATCGATACATCGGTAATTTGATAAGAAATCTTATTGACATTGACGCGAAAAAAAGGATACTATGGTTTATTGAGATTCTCTTGGACATAATGAATTCTAGAAATGATAAAGACTAGCCCGGTTTTGATCTACGAAAATTAAAAGAGCCGAGAGAGGCGTTAGATCTCATTTCTGACTTAATTTGACTTATTCTTCAATTTCATCAATCTCTTCGAACTCTTCCTTATGTTTCCTATTTCTCCTCGTTCAAAGAAGATGACAATAGCTCAGTGGTAGAGCATCTCTCCGCTAAGCGGAGGGTCGGTGGCTCAATTCCCCATTCTTTCCAAAATTTTTGCCATGAACTTTTTTACTTTATTACAGAAAGCCTTGGAACAGCTCTGCACCCAGCGAGACAATTTTATGGTACTGTAAAGGTAGCCTGGAGCTCGTTGATGAGATCAAATCGTTGCCAAATGGACAAAGAAATTTTGTCAGTCTATATATTTCTCCACGGTACGCTACACTGCACTACTTACCGACTTCAGAATGGTTAGTAGTAAACTGGAATTCAATGAAATCTTCATAAATTTAGAACAATATCTGGGTTCTAACTGGATCAGCTTTTAACTGAATCTAACTGGGAACATCTTAGCCGCACTATACCCTGCCTTGGTTTGCTTCAAATACTCTGTGCCTGATTTAAGATTTAGATATAGACAAATAAACTTGAAGAAGTGGTACTTGTCGGTTATACATTCACAAAGACTGATCTTGGTGAAGCATCCCCATCCAAGTCTTCTCGGTTATCGATTTTCGTTCCACTGATCGACTGATCACTTCAGACGAGCACTCTACTTTCACTGAACATAATCACCACTCACAAGTTGTCAGCTCCTTGCTTAACCGAGTTGAGTTCTACATCCACAGATTCTCTGTGGATGTAGAACCGACAAGTACCGAAGAAGTAAATGCTTTAGCTAAATAAGAATGGTTCTCGTTTCGGAAGGGATTTCGATGAGATCACTTTAGAGGAGAACGCTTCTCTGCATAAACCATATAAACACACCATTTCTGGTGCACTGAATTGGTCATATCCTTGCTATGAGTCATATCCTAGAGCCATTTTTTCACTCAGCATCATATCCTTGCTTTGAAAAATCTGAAAACATTTACTTACCTTGTACATTCACAAATTTAAACTCAAAGCATTGTAAGGTAAATTAAAAATGAAAATGAAAAGAAATGGTGTGGGGAAATGAACGAAAAATTTGAAAAAATCCTCAAAAAAACCTTTACGTGAAAACAAAAATAACTCGTGTTGATGATCTGGAACATTGTCGAGGAGAGAGAGATCATTTCAGAGAGATCTATTGTTCTTTTAGAATAAAAAGAGTCACGGAATTGGAGAAATTGAAAAGGAAATGGATATCGAAAATTTCCTGATCTAAAATTGAGAATCACAAACTTTTCCAGAGACTTTGAAACTAATGAGAAAACTTTGCAAACGGTTTCTTTTCGAAAAAACCAAACTAAACCCGGAATCTCCGGCAAAAGTCATTTGATCTCTTCGTTAAAACAATCCATCAAAATTTTCAATGTCAAGAAACGAACAGACACGAGTTTTTTCTGAGGGAAAAGGAACCAAATTTGTAGCGAAAAGGAACCAAATTTGTAGCGAAATGGAACCAAATTTGTAGAAATGATTGAGGATCTATAGAGCTTTCTATAGATCCTCAATCATTAACATTTTTGCCGTGCTGGTTTTGTGTACATTCTACCGTAGGCCGTTTGATGACGCGTTTTAAAACGCGCCCCTTTCCTGTACACTCTGTCAAAAAATTATAGACGCACCCTGTTTTTTGCTAGTTTAGAGCCGGACATAAGTGCTAGTCCAGTGAAAAGTATTTTTTAGTTTCTTTAATGTAAAAAAAACAACCCATGCAAAATTTCAAGTCATTTCACTCATCCAAAGCACTTTATCGTACAAAAAACGTTTTATCAGCTGTCAAAAAATTATAGACGCACTTTTATTTGACGATTTATTCTATCAATAATTGTTAGTTTTTCTCATTTTTTTGCTTATTAGTTATGTTTATAAATGTTTTTACATTTTCAGATAGGCCACTTGGAAAACAACTGGATGTGGTGGAAAAAACACGTATCGATGTGCTCCACACGCTTGGTCACTCAAAAAGGGACATTGCTCATCGCATCGGACGTTCTGAGAAGTGTATTCGCACGTATCTCAAGACCAAAGTGACTCCTAAGAAGAAAGAAACACGGGGCCGGAAGAAAAAGTTGACCGATCAAGACGAACGCGCAATTACGAGACGTCTTTCCAACACGACGACATCACTCGAAGAGGTTCGCAAGAAGATGAAGCTTCCGGTCACTCTCCAAACTGTGCACAACGTTGTCAAACGATCTACAATACTCAAATACAAACTCATGAAGCAAGCTCCACGACCATAAAGCCGCCCGTATCGATTTCGCTCAAAAGAACCAGAAGACCAAATGGGAAGGAGTTGGTTTACTAGTATTTCTTATATATTTTATGTTTAGATCATTTGGAGTGACGAAAAGAAGTTCAACCTTGATGGTGCTGATGGTTTTCGAGGATATTGGAAGGATTTGCGGAAGCCGGGCATGGTCTTCAGCACGAGGAACTTCGGAGGTGGATCATGTATGGTATGGGGAGCCTTTCGAGACGGCGAACTGGTCGGGTTAGAGTTTATTTCGACGCAGCTTCAAAAAAAAAGGGTTGGAAAAAACAGCCCCCCCAAAAAAAAAAAAACAGGGGGAAAAAAATTTATTTTATAAAAAAAAAAAAAAAAAAAATAACGAAAAAAGGGAGGGGGAGAGACCCAAAAAAGACCCATATGCCGGGCGGGGCCGCCGGGGCCCAAAACAGAAAAAGAAAGGGGGGGGGGGGGGGGCGGTGGGGGAAGAAAAAAAAAAAAAAAAAAAGAAAAAAAAGAGGGAAAAAAAAAAAAAAAAAAAAAAAAAAAGCGGGGGACGGCGGGAAGACACAGCGGCCCACGTCTTTCGATGCCGAGACGTCTTTTTGAAGTTGGACTAAAGCAAGGAGGGGCCACACATTATTAATTTATTTGGTTTGCGTTGTTATTTTTATTTCTGTTAACTTTTTCTTGATAAAATAAAAGTGCGTCTATAATTTTTTGACAGCTGATAAAACGTTTTTTGTACGATAAAGTACTTTGGATGAGTGAAATGACTTGAAATTTTGCATGGCTTGTTTTTTACATTAAAGAAACTAAAAAAATACTTTTCACTGGACTAGCACTTATGTCCGGGTCTAAACTAGCAAAAAACAGGGTGCGTCTATAATTTTTTGACAGAGTGTATTCTTGGGAAAAATTTCATTCTAGTCAATTCGTTTAGCAGTTTTATATAGCTAGTAACCCACACACCCATCCTTTTTTTGCGATAAATTTCTTTCTAGTCAATTCGTTTAGCAAATATTTGTAAAAAAGATTCGAAATCAGAACACAAAGCACTTGGATGATGATTGTTTTTAAAGGAAACAATCTGCACTATTTTTTTTTCTTTTTCTTATCTTTTTTTCAATTAAACCATTATAAAAAACTATTTTTATTCATTGATATCGTTTTAAAAAGATCTTTATAAAGCTTGTTGACATCCATTGGCGATCCAATCGTGAAACTCGACTCCGAAATAAGTGTCATGTTGAGAGATATTGTAGTGAAGTGCTGGTACCGAATTCGCGCAATCTCTACAAATTTCTGAGTTTATTTAACTTAAAGCTTTAGAAATATGAATTAACGACTAACAAAGTTGTTTTTATAATATTGAGTTGGTGAATTGAAAATGGATTGAAAAACGAAAATGAAAATGGTGAAATGGATTGAGATTAGCCTTGATTTGCGGAGAAGTCAAAGTCCAATTCGAGGATTCGCAGCCGGCCAGATTCGTTTGGCAAAGCGAGAGGGAAGGGGGTTATGTAAAAGCGCTGCGCCAGACGACGAGCGATTACGCGGCCGCACAAAAAACACACAAACAGAACTACTAAGTGTATCCTTTTGGAAATTTGTATATAAGCTTAATTTTTGATTCTCTACAGCTTTTCCATTGACACCAAAATGGGTTTCTTTTGAAGAAAGTCCTCAAACTGTCACAAATGACAATAGCCCACAGTTTTCAATTCACCAAACCAATAGAATATCTTTCTGTAAAACAAACGAGCTTTCATCCATGGAACACGTCTTGTAATCAGCTGTTTTCATGTCATTGTCGTACCAAATCTAGAAGGATTTATTGTAAAAAAGAGATATAGAAGTTTTAAGGAAAAAGAAATCATTTTAACCTCGGTTTTATGATGTTCATAGCTAAAGAGCTGGGGTGGAATGTGTGGGACAATGTCGTTCTGATGAACAACTCGATAGCTGTACCCGGTCGTACCACCAAACTGAACAAAAGTAAATGTTGAATATGTCTGTGTATGTCTCGATAACAAAAATAAGTGTCGTATATGTCAATTTAAAAATCTTATCACCCCATCAGTTAACTTTTTGGCTCACCCTTGCGTCGTGCATCTCAACAAAAGCCGAATCACCAACACGAGGTTCACCAAAAGTCATCTGAAATTGGTTATCCGATTCGCCAACATTAGTGACTTTAGAAAGCTTATTATTGTAACTACTTGCATGATAAATTGTTGGAATATCATAGTTTATCGAGAGATAGTTGACGGCAATTGTTGACATTGCACCACCCAATGAATGTCCGGTTATCTGGAAAGGAAACATGCTCAAATTATATAGAAAGAAGCTTATAGAAAGAAGCTTATAGAAAGAAGCTTATAGGAAGAAGCTTATAGAAAGAAATAGAAAGAAGAAAGAATTTATTATAAAATTGATGAAATTGATAACTTTCCGCTGTTTTAGAGACTTTTCAAAATCTCCTAGTACTCACATAAATGTCATAGTTGGGATAGCGAGAGTGTTGAGCGAGGAAATCGTCTTTCATTCCTAGAGAAAACTAGCTAATAATATAGCTACCGTAAATACTGTAATAGTACCCCATCCCTCCTCGTACAGTCGCGTAGTCGCAAAAGTTTTTTCGTATTTCATTTTTTTTCAAAGCGCCCGTACTTCCAAAAAATGCGTCTTTGGTATCAAAAAATAGCGCTGAATTTCAGCTATTTTTTGATACCTAAGCGCGCATTGTAGCATAAACCAGTGTCGAGAAAAACTAGTTCAAAGTTAGACTACGCAACACTCCGCACCGTCATTATGGGGGTGGGGCACTATTACAGTATTTACGGTAAGTAATTTGGCTAAATTTTTATTTGAAAGCCCAAAGAATACAATTTTTATCCCACCTGCATTCCAAAGTTTCATAAAACCGTTGTAGAAATACTCGTCAACATAGCCTTTTCCGAGTTGTTGCTGAAAGCTTTCTCAATCAATTGTTTTCCAAGCGAGCTTTATTAATGGAAAAGCAAAAGAAAAAAAGCAATTTTTTAACAGTAATCTTCAACAATTTAACAGCAACAATCAGAAACTTGTAATCAAGAAAAAAGTTTTTTATTTTAACTTGAGAAAAGCTATCTCGGAAGAAGAAGAGGAAGAAGAAGAAGAAGAAGAAGAAGAAGAAGAAGAAGAAAAGGAAGAAGAAGAAGAAGAAGAAGAAAAGGAAGAAGAAGAAGAAGAAAAGGAAAAAGAAGAAGAAGAAGAAAAGGAAGAAGAAGAAGAAGAAGAAGAAGAAGAAGAAGAAGAAGATGAAGAAGAAGAAGAAGAAAAGGAAGAAGAAGAAAAGGAAGAAGAAGAAGAAGAGGAAGAAGAAGAAGAAGAGGAAGAAGAAGCAGAAACAAGACTCACATTCGGTTTTAGACTCTCAACTCCTTCGGCAAAGAGCTGTCCATCAGTTGTTGTACCTCTAAAAGTAAGCTTTTGAATCATTTAAATCATTTAAAATTATTAGTGAAAGGTTGAATACTTATTAAAATGAAAATCAATGAATTTGTTTACCGAAAAACAAGTGCAATAACTCGGAGAGTCGGTGAAATAGCTGTATAACCACTGCAAGTATCATTTTTGAAAATCTCATCACACGGAAGAGTCAACTGACGAATTAGCTGAACGAAAATGATTTCAATTGTAGTAAATTCTGATTTCACTATACAGAAACAGCAATTTCTATTAAATTTCTATCAAATTTAATAGATTTTTCGAAATTTCTTTATTTTTCAGTTTCTTTGTTTCTTGATAAAGCATTTGATGTAAGATAAAGAATTTCTTTACTTACTTTCTTTACTTTCTTTACTTCCTTTACTTTCTTTCTTTACTTCCTCTATTCATTCTTCCCTTTACTTCCTTTACTTTCTTTCTTTACTTTACTTTCTTTACTTTACTTTCTTTAGTTTTCAGTTTCTTTGTTTCTTGATAAAGCATTTGATGTAAGATAAAGAATTTCTTTCCTTTCTTTCCTTCCTTCCTTTACTTCCTCTATTCACTATTTTCTTTCTATTACTCATTTCACCTGAGCATTCAACCATTTATCAATGCATTTCGTCGGATTTGTGTAAGCAGCAGCACAAAGAGGCCAGAAACGCTTCCTCGCCAAATCATCCGAATATGATGGCTGAAAGTTTAAGGGTAAATTTCTCTAACGCTAGACTATAAAGCTAGCAAAATTTCTTTCAACTCACCGCACTTCGAATTGCAATTGCTGTCCCCAAATGAACGAGGGAAAGAAATGCGGCTAGAAGATGGAAAAAATGCATTTTCAACAAAAAGCCACCCAAAAAAGCCAACAAGTGAGGCTTTTTAATCACTGATTTTTTAGCCTTTTCTAGGCATTTTCTTCCGCATATTCTTAATAATCGGATTTGAAATGATGGAAAAAAAAACTAAGATAAAGAAGAAAAACTAGATCCGTGTCGAGACTTAAAGCTGAAAACTACAAAATTTTCCCGGTCAATCTACGAAATGCTTAGCGTTGTGAGTCAAAAATGAAGATAAAGACAAATTGTGACATTCGTCGACTTATTAAGATCCTGTTTAGTTCAATTTAGAGTGAAATGATTCGCTTTTGTTCTCATGTTCTAATATTCAAAGCTATTGGTTAATAAGGGGAAATTTGCTTGATGAAAATATGGAAGAAACCAACTTGGCGAAAAGAGGTAAAAATTTTGACCTGTACGTTCTGAGCTCGTCCTCGTCCTCAGCTCCTTTCTTGCACACAACGTTTATGGGGGTCATAAAAAGCAGAAATTTTTGTTAAGGATCATGGCGGCTGATGTTCTCCGTGCGCCTAAAGCAGATAAACTAGTAGATAACTAGTAAATAACTAGTAGATAAACTAGCAGATAACTAGTAGATAAACTAGTAGATAAACTAGCAGACAACTTAGTAAACGCCTGAGTAAATTTTAGGTGACAAGAGCATCTCTTTCACATGCACAGCCTGTTTTTGTTTTTTTTTGTGCAAACTAATAAAGATGTTAATATGTTTTGAAGAAATTTGCGGCTACCAACCGGCTTACCAATGTTGGATTGGGAAGTTGGAAAGAATTAGAGAAACTTTTTTTGAGTCGGCTGAAAATTACGCGGATAGAGTAAAACACATCACATTTTGAAGATTTGTAGATATTTTTTTAAATGAATCATTTTTAAAGCTCTGCATAGTTTGAAATTACGTTTGAAAATTCTTTCAAATATTTTCAGATACGGAAGCCATTAGCGTAGCGAATGACAGCGGGGAAGAGGTTGAAATTTTCATATAACGATTTAACTCTTTTTTTAGTTCGAAGAGGAACCAACGACTTCGTATGAGCCGCCACCAAAATTGGAGAAATACGCAAAACTCTCTAGGGTACGCTACCAATCTGTTTGCTTTTTTTTACAATACTCTACTTTTTAGAAATTTTGCCCGGTTCCAATCAATTTGCCAAAACGCATCTTCGAGCCACTCAACGATCGACCTGAATTTCGTCCATTCATTCTGAAGTATGCGTTTGGTCTAGATAAAAAGCTTAAACTTACAATTAGACAAGGTTAAGAAATTGACATTCCACATGTGTCAGAAAGTGAGAGTTGGACCTCATACCCATGACCCACAAGGCCATCCCCATAACCCAGGTCATCCCCCATAACCCGAGTCATACCCATGACCCTAGATTACCATCGGCAAGGAAAACCCGACAAAACCGCGACGAACCCCGCCCCTCAAGCCGAGACCCCTTATAAGGGGGGGATTTCTCGCGAAAATTTCAGTTTGAAACGAATATTTGAAAGTTTCACTCAAATTTACATTTTTAAACAAATTTAACCAAGTTCTTTTGGAAATATTTAAACATCAATTTGGGTCTATCCCAAAACAGCGCCGACCAAAACAGCGCCACCCAAAATAGCGCCACCCAAAATAGCGCCGTACCCAAAATAGCGCCGTACCCAAAATAGCGCCAATGAAAAAAACGCCCAAAACAGCGCCGATGCAAAACAAAGTTTTTTTTTTCTTTCGCAATGTACAATTCATTTTTTTTTATTAGCAGCTTTTAATTTTGATAATTTATTTAAAAATAACATGACCAACAACAATAAACGATAACAATTAAACGATGCATAAAAAACATCAAAATAGTATCAAATTAATAGTCCAAGAGGCTCTGAAACATCATAACACTAACGATGATGAACATATACCCCCATATGACCGATATAATTCTTCTCGAAAAAGTCGAACAAAACTAAATGTGCTTAGTTCCATCATATAAAAGAAGACTCACCCACCAAATGATTCTTCCGGCTTGGAAGAGCAACCAGGGCATCATTGACGAGATTATGAAAAGAAGTCTTGACATCGATCGGCCAAACATAAGTGAGAACCATTAATCCTTGAACGAAGATTTTGTTAATAGGATCCTGGTATACATCAGACAAGTTGTTTTTCTAAAACACAATCTTATTAACCTTTTATAATTAAAAACCTGAATAGCTCCATAAACGCTCTTGAAAAAATGAAAAGTACAATAGTGCACTTTCGTTGCAGAGTGGGGATAGGCAAGATTGAAACCACAGTACAACGCCAGCTCCATATCTGAAAAAAAATCATAAAGCCAAAATATATTTAAATCCAACCCGTTTTTAATTTGTGCGGAGGTGGTATGCCAGCTGCTTGAAGATAGCCAAAGACTTCCTTGTAGGTGTTAGCATCCTTTCGATTCAAAAATGCATACACGCACGGAACAAACATATGTTCATGCTAAAATTTCTTAAATTTGGGCTTTTATTAAAATAAACCAACCTCGATGCCAATAATGAAGACTTGTTTAAATCCTGCAGGCGCGGAAGCAAATGTCCCATCGCAGGACCAAATGGCATTCTAAAGTATAATAAAAATTTTACAAATATATAACTAACCTGCAATAATTGTTGTTTTCCCCAATCGGTCCAGAAGACTTTCATTGCCTTTTCATTCCAAGATGTATACGCATCGCAAGTGTCGAAACGTAGAAACCTTGTACCTTTATTTTAATTTCTATATAAATCATTTAAAAAGCGTACGGAATTTTCCATCATCGATCGGACTTGGCCACATTTTTGCGCCAGGAATTACTCGCTGTCGCCTCGCCATTTTTTGCAAACCGGATACATTGAGTAGGCGTGTTACGTCGGGTGGACTGTTTGTTATCGTCTGCCGTACAATTTCTTTGACGGGGACACCCATCTTTGCTTGGTGTTTAACATCTTCGAACACAATTCGAATCTAAAAACGCATTTATCACACAAGCAACAATGTCTTGATCATCTACCTGTTTTTTGCTTTCTGGTGGCAAGTGGTCGTGATTTTTCGTGACCGTAAGAATGCCGGTTGCTTTGTTTTGATGGGCTCGGCCATAACATTTCGCCTTTGAACACCTTAAAGGAACAGAACTGGGTATTACAAGATAAATTATACTTCTCTTACCTATAACTCAAAAGTACACCGCATTTAAGTGCTTTGTCCTTTAGATATTCGAATCCATCTGAGTCGTAAATCAGTGACCGTCCTTTTTGGCTTGTCATTTTGCCTAGAAGAATAGATTAATAACTAAAAAACCGTAAAACGATGTTAACAAACACGTCGGTCCGCGATGATAAGACGACGATGATGAGTATGCAGCAACGCCTCGTTCAGTTTCAGGCTGCTTTGTTACCTACAAAAATAAAAAGTTAGTGAAAACGTTAAAAAACAGGCCGTAAAAGGAAAAAAAAATTGTTATTTTTGGTTAAAATCACTTTAATAAACGCTATCGCAGGTTTCTATGCGTAAAGCTTAAAAAAATCGGATTCTCCGCCTTTTTTACCCTAAAAACACAAAAAGTGGACAGAAAAAGTTAAAAACAGCAAAGAAAAAGCAAAAGCAAAAATCTAGAAAATAATTTTTGTTTGCTCGTCGCTGTTTTGGGCGTTTTTGCATTGGCGCTGTTTTGGGCGGCGCTGTTTTGGGATAGTTATGTAAATATTACATATGTTTTTCTCGAAAATCATGATAATTTTTATGATTTTCCGCACAACACTTCCTACCGACCCACGAGATGGCCGCCTAAAAGCAACTCTTCGGCGCACCGCTCATCGCTCATCCACCGACCCACCGCGAGCCAGCCTTCCTCCGCGTCAATGTCGTCGACGAGAAGCGAGGAGGCCAGAAAACTAAGCCGTCTTTCGCTTTTTTGGATTTGCAAAGTTAATTGTTCTCCTTTTCAAATACAACTCTATTTCAAAATACTATATTTTATAAATTTTGTCTTTTTTGTTCTCGTTCAAAGATTCGAACCGATTCTTTTGGGCATAAATGACATTTAACTTGTTTTTTTGTGAGTTTACTCATAAATCGCTATACTAAAGACGGCAAACTAGGCTGTTTTGACTGCTAGACAACTAGGCGAATCCTTAAAATAGTTTCAATATTGTGCTTTAATCAAAAGTACCGCAATCATTTTTCACTTAATAAATAGGATGATTTTTATCGATATCGATCTAGTCAAACAAATGGCTGCTTGTATTTCGTGAATTTACTCATAAATTGCCATTAAAGACGGGGAAAACTACCGTAAAGTTTAGTTAAAGTTTAGTTAAAGATTGCAACGATAAAATCTCTCTGAAAAATCGACTTTTTCAATACTTTAATGTTTCCTTTTCGCCTCATTTCCCTTTCATTCACTACTTATTGTTCTCTATGCTCTATTCATCCTTTTTTTTGCCTTCGTTATCACTCAAAACGTGATTTGATAAACCTTTGGACTCACAAACAAACAAACGCACCAGAAAAAACTACCAAGAATAGTGATTTCTTCGAGAAATGCCTCTATTTTTGAAATTTCTTCTTTTACTTCAAATATTCCACTTTATTTCTCCATTGAATGTCTTGGTTTATTCGCCGAGATTCGGCCATTCGCATACGAATTTTATGAGTCGCGTGGCCGACATTTTAGGTGAAGCTGGCCATAAAGTGGTGAGTAGACTTGGGTTTTGTTTTTTTTCGAATTTCGAATCATTTTTCCCGGTCACGGAAGATCTCCTGCCAATTTTGTTTATCATTTTGTCTATTATTTTGTCATTTTAATTCAAAATTTTAGACCTACTTGGAGCCACTTTTCGTCGAGAAAGTCGCCGCGAAGGGGCCGATTAATAGGAATGTTCAAGTGAGTTCGATGAGGCTGCAAAGATCTCATTTAACTAGATAATTGAAATAGGAAGCTTAGATCATCGAAGTGCCACGCTCGAAATTCATCATTCATTTATTCACCGCACAGAAATCTGATTCAAGCGGTTCGGCGAGATGGGAAACGACAACGCTTACCGATTTTTGGGTCACGAAAAAAGTGAGTGCTTAATGAAAAACTGATGAAGACGCTTAATGCTTAATGAAGACGCTCTTTCCGGTGTAGAATCTTTGGAATACACTTTGAATTGAGTTTCCTTGGAACAAGTAGAAGTCAAGAGTTCTCTTTAGTAACAGTTCTCTTTAGTACATCGATCTGCTTAGTAATAGTTCTTTTTAGTAATAGTTCTCTTTAGCAATAGTTCTCTTTACTAACAGTTCTCTTTAGTAATAGTTCTCTTTACTAACAGTTCTCTTTAGTAATAGTTCTCTTTAGCAATAGTTCTCTTTAGTAACAGTTCTCTTTACTAATAGTTCTTTTTAGTAATAGTTCTCTTTAGCAATAGTTCTCTTTACTAACAGTTCTCTTTAGTAACAGTTCTCTTTACTAACAGTTCTCTTTAGTAACAGTTCTCTTTAGCAATAGTTCTCTTTAGTAACAGTTCTCTTTACTAGCAGTTCTCTTTACTAACAGTTCTCTTTAGTAATAGTTCTCTTTACTAACAGTTCTCTTTACTAACAGTTCTCTTTAGTAACAGTTCTCTTTAGCAATAGTTCTCTTTACTAACAGTTCTCTTTACTAACAGTTCTCTTTAGTAACAGTTCTCTTTAGTAACAGTTCTCTTTACTAACAGTTCTCTTTACTAACAGTTCTCTTTACTAACAGTTCTCTTTACTAACAGTTCTCTTTAGTACATCGATCTGCTTCGAGTGGCCGCGTTGGATTCATTGGAACGTAAAAGCTAACTAGAAAACGAAAGATAACTATAGATTTATAGATTTATCAAATTGTAGGTATAATTACGGACGAGATGATGATGAATCGCTTGAAAGCTCTTCAATTTGATGTAGCTATTACACAACCCGTTGAATGGAGTGGATATGGTGAGTGAAAATACAAAATTCAACACCAGAAAATCATCGAAAAGCTGTGTTTAAAATTCTTTAACCAAGTTACAATCAGTTTTTTTTAAAGCTTACCTTATGCATAAACTCTACTTTAAGGTCTTTTCTATCGTTTGGGTTTAAAGAAGTACCTAACTGTTTTCTCAACATCACCCGGCATGACCTATTCGACGATTTTCGGAGCTCCGTATGCGATTAGTTATGCTCCAGGTTGTTTAGATTGTTTATTCTCAAGATTCATTTAAAGATTTCTCGTGTAGCATTTGAAAAGCAATACTTTAGCTTAAAGAGGCGTGAAATTAAAGGTCAATTATCGTATTTTACAATAGATTTAGAATGGAGAATCCTTTAAGGGTTGATTTAAAAATTTTTTGAAAAGCCTTTTCTCTTTCCTTTAGCTTTTTAACTGTTCTAGTCAATTTCCAGCGATGCTCTCAAGGAAAAACGAGCGAATGCCTTTCTACGATCGAGCCATGAATTTTGTGTATACTTTAATGGAAAAGTTGGTGAGGAGGAGAGCTTTTCAAGTAGAGCTTTCAATAAGGATTTTTGGTTTAGGAAAAAGATTAGATCTATTTTGCATACCGTAAATACTGTAATAGTGCCCCACCGCCCTTCGTATAGTCGCGTAGTCGCAAAAGTTTTTTAATATTTCATTTTTTTTCAAAGCGCCCGTACTTCCAAAAAATGCGTCTTTGGTATCAAAAAATAGCCCTGAATTTCAGCTATTTTTTGATACCTAAGTGCGCAGTGTAGCATAAACCAGTGTCGAGAAAACCTCGTTCAAAGCTAGACTACGCGATGCTCCGCACCGTTATTATGGGGGTGGGGTAGTATTTACGGTATTTACGGTAGGTAAACCAGGACCTAGAAGATTGTTTCAAAAGCAATTTTTGGCTTGACCAAGGAAGAGTAAAGTAGAAGATACATCACGTAATGCTGGAATAAAGTGCCCCCACTATAGGAGCGTTGCGTCGTCTAAGTATGCTCTCAAACAAACGCTCATATCTCGACACTAGTACGTTTATTTTTGTGCGCTTTGGTATCAAATTAATATCCAGAAAAATGGGTAATTTTTCGAGATATACCACATATTTCTAGCATCAGACAGCGCTTAGAAAAAAAATGATTGAAAAGTGGGGAAAATCGCCTTTTTTGCTACTTTACACACAAAGAACCGCTCATATCTCGACACGCAGACATTTGCTTCTGCGCGCTTTGGTATCAAATTAATGTCCAGAAAATGGGTAATTTTTCGAGATATAACACATATTTTTAGCATCAGCCAGCGCTTAGAAAAAAATGATTGAAAAGTGGGGAAAATCGTCACTTTTTTTAAACAATTAAACGATGATTTGTTTCATTAGAAAGCCAAATTCTTAGAGTCAACCTTTAGAATCTATTCTTAAAGCCAAGCTGATTTTCCGATTGTAGACCTCTGTTCGACGGTGGCTACACTCCATTCGATGATCTTTTAACAAGAAATGATCCCGAATTCCCTAGCATTCGGGTAAATTTCGAGAAAACTTACAGTTCAAATTTCCAATTTCAGGAACTCGTCATTCAATCCTCATTTTTCTTACCGAATTCCGAGCCATTAATCGATTTTCCAAAGCCAAAACTCTCGAAAATTGCTTTTATTGGTGGTTTAACAGTGTCAGGATTGGAAAAGAGGGAAAAGTTGAATGAGGTGAGGAATTCTAAATAGAAATTGATATCAGCTATTCGAGAAAATACAGTATCAGATCGATTTCCTTCTAGGAATTCAAATTCAGCTCAAATTCAGATCAAATTCAGATCAAATTCAGGAATTTGATGAGATTCTAAATCAACGAGCTCATACGATTTTCATCTCATTCGGCTCAATGGCTCGCTCGGTGGATATGCCGAGAATCTCAAAGGAAACATTGATCAAAGTGATGAATATGTGAGGATTTGTGTTTTGAATTTCAATATTCGATTTAGCTTTTCAAATATTACGTTCATTTGGAAATACGAAGATCAAGAGGATCCGATTTTGAGAGAATTGAAGGACAATGTTCACACAGTTGTTTGGGCACCACAATTGGCGCTTTTGAGTCGGTTTTCTCAATGAAATGAATAGAATTTGATAGAATTTGACCTAATTTAATCTAATTTTAGTCTAATTTTATCTAATTTTATCTATTTTAATATAGTTTCATCTAATTTAATCTAATTTAATATAATTTATTAGGTTGATGCATAAGTCTTTTCGTTTTTTTCGTACTTCTGTTAAAAAGTAACAAATTCACCAATTAACCTATGCTTTTCTCTAAATAAAAAGTGTTTTTTTGTTCAATTTGCATTTTTTTAAATGAATTTCGGTTCACTTTCAAGCAAATTCGAGAGTGAAAAACGCCTTTTTCGTAAAAATCTATAAAAAACTCTACGGAAAAATTGGCTGAATGAATTTCTCTGAAATTTTGGCGAAATATCAAACTTTTTTTTCTCTATCTTTTATCTATTGACACGAAGATAGGTTTTCTTTAGCTAAGGTGTCTAAACCGCTCAGGCTCAGGCTCTGGCTCAGGCTTAGGCTGAGGCTTAGCCTGAGCCTGAGCCTGAGCCTGAGCCTAAACCGCATCATCGAGTTAGCCCTTTTTGACTACCCGACTTCATACTCTCAAGAAAATCCAGGCATTAAATATTTTTAAACCCGTTTTAATGTTATTTTGCAGAAAAATAATTGGTTTTTCTAATGAAATCAACCGTAGTTCAATTGGTGCATTTGTTACTTTTTAACAGAAGTACGAAAAAAACGAAAAGACTTATGCATCAACCTAATAATATAATTTAATCTAATTTAATCTAATTTAATATAATTTAATATAATTTTGTCTAATTTTATCTAATTTTATCTATTTTAATCTATTTTAATATAATTTCATCTAATTTTATCTAATTTTATCTAATTTTATCTAATTTGATAGAATTTGATAGAATTTGTTTAATTTAACCTAATTTTATCTAATTTTATCTATTTTAATCTAATTTAATCTAATTTTGAAGGCCAATGTTCACACAGTTGTTTGGGCACCACATTGGCGCTTTTGAGTCGGTTTTCTCAATGAAATTAATAGAATTTGATCTAATTTGATCAAATTTTATAGAATTTTATATTCGGTTAAGATTTTCTGATCTAATGAGATTCAGGTGATAAACGTTTGACTGCTTTTATTACGCATGCTGGAGCGGGAAGCTTGCAAGAGGTGGCGAGTAGTGGAACGAAGGTTTGATGGGGCTTCAATCATCAAGATTCAATGATCTTTTTCTAATAATCTAGCATTTCCTTTTTAGATAATGTGCATTCCTCTATTCGCCGATCAATTCGGCAACGCGGGTCAATTGGAGCGAGTCGGCGCGGCAATCGTTTTCGATAAGGCTCATTTGAAAGTGGAGAAGAGATTGGTGGAAGCGATTCAGAGATTGATAAGTGATGATCGGTGAGGCTTTGATGATTTGTAAGATTTGTAGGATCTATAATAACTTACAAAAGTTATTGTAGACTTTTTAGACTGAGGATAAACGCTGAAAAGCTCGCCGAAATGATCACAAATCGACCATTTTCGCCAAGCGAGATTTTGGTGAAGTACACAGAGTTTGCCGGCAATTATGGTAAGGTTTAAAGGCTTGTAAAGGCATTTTTTTTCTAGTACAACACGAAAATTGAATGATCCAGTGTTGTGTTTTGGAGTTTTTGTCCACAGAATACATTTGAATGAAACTTTAGGTCCTTTTTCTCAATTGGATCCCTATGGTCGTCATTTATCGTTTATTGAATATCATTTGTTAGATATTTTTGGATTATTAGTAATCTTTATAGTTTTGTTTGGATTCATTTTAATTACTTTATTCTGGAAATGCTTTAGAAGGCAAAAGTTGAAGGGAAATTAATGAAAAAGAGATTTTTAAAAGAAAAGGAAAGATAAAATAAAGAAATTTGAAGATAAAAGAAACAAATAAACAATCAGCAAAGCAAAGAAAAGCAAATGATTTTAACAATGAGTCAATTGGATGCATTTCTCTTGTGAATCCCTTACGAATCCTTGTTTACAATGACATCCCGCAAAACAAGACTCAATACAGAACTGAAAAACATTCATTTTCACTATTCAAACATTTCGTTACAGTATATCCGACAGTTTCTAACTGAAATATACTGTAGCTTTTGATTAGAGTGTTTCCTCAAACAGAAGAAAGCTAAGAAAACTACTGTACTCCCGATTCTATCTATTACGGATTACGGTAACCAGCTCAACACCTAACCAGGCCTAATTTTGATATTAAAGCATTTCCTATTTTGGTTACTAGATAATCAATGCCTGGGTTACGGTAACTGGGGCACGCTTTAGAGCAGCTATCTGATTGTGATCGAGATTCGAAAAAGTTGAAGAATTATTGAATTGAATTATCGTACCTCAACTTGCGGTTGCTCACAGCTCGGTTCACACGCTGAGGCGCATGGTCCCACCCATTCCTCGTTGGTGTTGCATGCTAAAGTAATGCATAGCTGCAGGGCTTGTCCTTTAGTCTATAAGTCTAGCTCTAATCCTGGCTCTGATCCTAGCCTGACCCAGAGATTTGCTTCTCGAGCAAAGCCTCGAAATTTTCGCTTTGGTTTGCTTTGGTTTGTTTTTAAGCATTTTGAAGTGTCAACTATTTCAACTATTTTTCAACTATATTTAAACATTCTAAAGTGTTTACAAGCATTAATGAACTAGATAGGGTTTTTAAAAGTGAATTTAGAACATATAAAGCTTCTGTGAAATGCTATGAAGATCTGGTTTAGTCCGGTCTGGGTTAAGCATGCGCATGGCGGGCCTGACCCGGCCTGGCCCAGAAATTTGTCCCTAGAACCAGCACTGCTTGAAAGTGCTGTATACTTAGAAATAAGTACTTACAGTAGTTACAGTTGACACTAGTTTATCGTTTTTTTCATTATCGATTGTCTGATTGCTTCGAAAGCGTTTAACTCTTGAAAATAAGGTTCGAAAACTTGTCTGGGTTCTTTTCCAATATCGGGGGAGCGGTCCGATTATCGGGGGAGCGGAAGGAAAATCGGGGGAGCGAAAGGAAAATCGGGGAGCAAATTTTGGCCCCCTCGAAAAATGCATTTCTGGGACTTTTATTTTAACTGCAACGTTTTTTTTTTAATTTTTTGGCAGCGCTACATATGTCCTATATTATCCAAAGAAAAAAGCGAAAGGAAAGGTTTTGTTTTGGTTACTTTTGTTTTTGTTTTGGTTACTTCGCTTACATTTCTTTCGTTGTTATGATCAATTATACTATTAATGAATAAATTTTTAGGTAGCCATTTGTTCGTTCGGGATTGTGGAGCGTTCGGCAAAAAGAGAAGGCGGCCGATAGGGAAGGTAGAGGTATGTTTGGTGTTAGATATTTAAGTCACTTTTGTGATCTAATATAAAGGTTGTGAGAATAACGGGTAATTCGCGGATTTTATGGCAGTACTTTGGATAATATAGGACATATGTAGCGCTGCCAAAAAATTAAAAAAAAAACGTTGCAGTTAAAATAAAAGTCCCAGAAATGCATTTTTCGAGGGGGCAAAATTTGCTCCCCCGATTTTCCTTTCGCTCCCCCGATTTTCCTTTCGCTCCCCCGATTTTCCTTCCGCTCCCCGATAATCGGACCGCTCCCCCGATATTGGAAAAGAACCCTTGTCTGAAAAGCGGAAAGATGCGTAAATATTATAAATCATTCTAACTTACTGTATATTAAATAAATAGTATGAAATATATTATATAAAGTTTAGATTGTAGTTTATTTAAGCTTTTTGTAATGAACGCACTTTGTCGGCCATTTGCCAGTGAGCAGAGGACGATCAAAAGTGTCAAGGTGACAAAAATTGACTTCATTTAGGTGAAAATTGATGAGAAATTCGGAAAATAGGTAGAGTTATTGATTTTATGAAAATCGCTAAACAATTTCCCAATTTATCCGCTAACATCCTGTTTGTTGACCTTGAAAATGTTTTTGGAAAAATTCTTTTTTGAAAAATTCCTCGTCCAAATGTTCAAAGTGACGAATGGGAAAATAAGAAAGATTTCATTTTGCTTAGAGAGTTTATTTTCAAATAGAAATCTGTAGATTTTAGTTGAATTTCTCGGGAAATCCCCCCGACTTTCACAAATTTCCCATCAACTTCTCGTAGGAATCCCTTCTCACACTCACAACCCCAGAAAACAATCGAGAGTACTAAATTTTACCAATTACAGCCAGCGACCACTTCGGTATGTCTTTTTTCTCTTAAAATCTCTTAAATCTTTGTTTTAGCGATTTTAGCGATTTGAAGTTTGAATTTTTTAAAAGAACATTTTGTAAATCTTTTGTAAATCTCAAAACAAGCACCCTAGAGAAAGCTGTCGTAAACCACTTCAGGAAAAGTTAGACTAAAGCTAAAGCTGGGATTGGGAGTTGAGCTAGTGAAAGCTAGTGAAAGCTCAACTCTTGAGCCGAATGTTTAGCTCAAGGAGTAGGCCCAGTCGGTCAGGACTAAGAAAAGTTTAAGCCTGGTTTACAAGTTTCAAAATCACCTTGAATTCAGCGAAAGTAAGGACGAAGATCGTGCTCAAGCATAGCAAAATTTTTCAGCAAAGATGAAATATCACGGAAGGACTCAGGCTTCGTAAGCACTCTAGAGAAAGCTGTCGTAAACCGCTTTCCGAGGCAATTAACATCACAAATTGGATACATACAACAAAAAAATAACTAAATTTTAAGCCTATATTGTAAACTTTAATTTAGCCGCAATTTGAAAGTTCACTAAACTCATTAAACTTCAGTTTTATTCAGCTAGCAGGGAAATAATGGGAAGAGGAAATATCACGGAAAGGTTCAGGCTTAGCGCAATGGAGGTCTTCTATAGTGCAGTCGGTAGAGCGTCTGACTCTGGGGCGAGAGGGGTTTCGTCCGGTGGAGCGAACCGTCCCAGGGGCCAGATGGCCTTCGTCCACCGGTGGACCGAACCGTCCCAGGGGCCAGATGGCCTTCGTCCACCGGTGGACCGAACCGTCCCAGGGGCCAGATGGCCTTCGTCCACCGGTGGAGCGAACCGTCCCAGGGGCCAGATGGCCTTCGTTCACCGGTGGACCGAACCGTCCCAGGGGCCAGATGGCCTTCGTCCACCGGTGGACCGAACCGTCCCAGGGGCCAGACGTAACTCAATGGGCTTTCCGAGGCAATTAACATCACAAATTGGATACATACAGCAAAAAATAAGCCTAGATTGTAGACTTTAATTTAGCCGTAATTAGCCGTAATTTAGCCGTTTCTTTGAAAGCTCATTAAACTTCAGTTTTATTCAGTTGTGCTGTTTTGTTTTACTGGTGAGTGCTGGCAGGGATGCCAATGTGTGAAAGGGAAAGGATTAGTGAGAAATGATGACGGGAAATGTATTAAAGTCGACGATTGCTCGAAGAAAGTTTCATTTTATTTCAATTGCAATAAATTTGCAACAATTTGCAATAATTTTTTTTTCAAACGAATCGAACCGTTTTCTTTCTTTTAATCTTTTTTTTTTCTTGCTTAAATTCAAACGAAAATGGATTAAATTAGCATAAAAGTGCATTTTGAGACTAATTTGCAAAAATCAACCTTCCGAAGATTGGATTGTTCTGAAATGTTGGAAAACTATGTAATCGATGAAGCGTTTTATTTTAAAAAGTATGCAAAACACCCAAAAATATATTATCTCATGAATGCTAGAAAGCAGAATTTTAAACTCTTACATTAAAGTTTTGAAAGTTGAAGTCTGAAAAAGTTCTAAAATAAAACATTTTTTGAAAAATTCAAAAAAAGCCATTTTTTAGATTAAGGATAGGGCTTTTGAATCAAGCAAACCGTTTTTTTGATTGGATAAACCGTTTTTTCAGAAAACACATTACCCAAAAACGATCGTTTATAACTTGCCAACCTAATAGATCAAATTTTAAGTCTAACCTATCGAATTAACCATATAAACACATTCACCGGTTATTTGAGTTTGAGGTTTTGAGCGTACAATCGTTTAGTCGTTTGCTGTTTTACTGATAATTTGGTGTAAATCCAAAAATAAACTAAGCTACTGGTGAGTGCTGGCAGGGATGCCAATGTGTGAAAGGGAAAGGATTAGTGAGAAAGGATGACGGGAAATGTATTAAAGTCGACGATTGAGTCGAAGAAAGTTTCATTTTATTTGAATTTCAGTAAATTTGCAATAATTTGCAATCATTTGCAATAATTTGCATTGACCTTGCACAAAGTAGATCTCAATATTTATCAAACATTCATCATTTCTCCGACTCGGTTACCATTCTCTTCAAAATTCTCCTCAATGCCTTTTGTAGAAGGGTTTTGATGGCTTTTCGATAAGGTGAAATGATAAAACACATCGTGATCGTGTTCACATTTGAATGAAAATAGAAAACAGCTGTCAACTTTTCAACTAAAAGGGATTCAGATGAGTTTTATTAAAGTGAATCGAACTTTTACTTACCATAATATTTAAAATCTACCATTAATGCACAAAATAATATATCAACGGTGGGAAAAAAGTAGACAAGTGTGCTGAGGAAGGCCTGGAAAAAGATTTTCGGTTTGGATTACGGTAACTGGAGAGGAAAAGAGTCTTGTTTTGCAATGATTTCCATTTTGCAAGCATCATTATTGTAAAATTTTTCGAATTATGATGCTTTAGTCAAAGTACAGTGCTTCATTTTTTGCGGTGTTATTTTTGGCGTAAACGCCTCCTTTCTGCGCACTCAATTCATCGCTTTTTTTCCGACATAAAATCGTTGCCGCAATCAAAAAAGATTTGTTTATTTTGGTCCCATTTCCTAAACCGTACCTTTTTTTCTCTTTTCTACCATTCTCTTTTCTAAACCTTCTAAAGAGAAAATCAACCCATTTTAAAAAAACAAATTGAAAAAAACTTACTTGAATGATCAAAGATTTAATGATACTTTTCTGTGCCCGATGCATTCGCCGACTAATGAAAACTTTTGAGCTGCTTAATCCGTAGATTACTCGAAAAACCGAGAAGAAAATGATGGCAGTAAAGAGGGAGAACTAAATTTGGAAAACTTGAAATTTGAAATTTGAAATTCCGGGATTTGATTTGATACCTCGATCACCCATGCCCATAGAATTTTGTGTAGTCGGCTGATCTCCGCTGGCATAATCACCCAATTGGTCATGTTCAGCAAGTGGTGACTGTTTGGGTAATGCTGAAATGAAGTGGATGAATGTAAAGATTGGTTTACGCAAAGTTAGTGCCGAATAGAAAAGATTACGATATTTCTCTTTCCACCTCTTTCACATATCGAATTTGCGTCTCTCGATCCAAAGCAGCCATTCCCACTGCATACCCGTTTCGAATGCTAAACAAGAGGTGAAGACAAAGAGCAGTCTGGAAATTTTAACCATTTAGACATAAGTAGTCAGTCAAGTATCTAATAAGATTGAAATTTCATCATTTCCTTACCCAAGTTTGTCTAAACGGTGTCCCGTGTCCCCATCGATGTCCCTCAATTGCCCAAAGTCGACTCAGAAAACAATTCACGATGGCGAGATTGCAATTGTAGACAACGATTAGGGAGAAGATCTGGATAAAGAGGGTTTTTGAAAGAAATTGCGACTTTACTATACAACAATAGTACTTTATACTATACTATTTGTACTATACAACAATAGCACTTTATTCGAAGTACGATAGTTGTCTTGACAAGACTCTTCCTCTTACCATTTCAGGCCAAATCCAACTTGGCGGTGAATGTGCAAAGAGACAAGCCGGTGACATGTAAATTCCCTCAAGTGGGAAGAGGAGGCCAAGACAGAACAATGAATTGTAGACAAGATCGGCGATGAAAGCCCAGATCTAAATCGGGAAATTTGCCATTGTCCTACTCTATTTAATTCTGATTTGCATATCAAAGATTACCAATAAATTGAGCAGAAAATATTTATAAACAGCCATTTCTTTTGTGCTGTGCCGGAGAATGATATAGACACCGAAGCCATTGATGAAAAATATTAGCACGGTGTTCGTTCGCCAAATCGGCTGAATGAGTTTGATCTTTAAAGATTTCCCAAATGATTGGATGCAAATCAGTCAGCAAAGCAGCAAAACTTGCTTGTCAGACTTTAGCTCAACAATATCCAACACAAGATTGAACCAAACAACTCCAAAAACCCACCACCAGCCACAGCTCCGTATCCACCGGGATCACGATTTCGTTAATCCACATAAAAATATAAAGTTTCAGCTTCAATACCAAAGTTTCCGATAATTATGGTTTCGGAAAAAAGTTCGATACTCTCAAAAAGAATAATCAGTGCTCTTTCTCACTCTTTGAAGGTACAAAAATGAAAAAAGACCAGTGAAAGCTGTAATTTTTTTGAAATAGCAATTTGTTTGTCTAGCAAAAATATTTGTCGAGAACATACAATTATACTTTCACATCGAAGATTTAATTCCGAGTTCAATTCTGAGTAGCCGAATCAAGATTTTCCTATCCGTATGTGTTTCTAAAGTTAAAACATAACATATAAGTTATAAGTTACTGTATTTTAAATAAATAGTATGAAATATATTATATAAAGTTTAGATTGTAGTTTATTTAAGCTTTTTGTAATGAACTCACTTTGTCGGGCATTTGCAAGCGAGCAGAGGACGATCAAAAGTGTCAAGGTGACAAAAATTGACTTCATTTAGATGAAAATTGATGAGAAATTCGGAAAATTGGTAGAGTTATCGATTTTATTAAAATCTGTAAACAATTTCCCAATTTATCAGCTAACATGCTCTTTGTTGACCTTGAAAATCTTTTTTAAAAAAATTCCTCGTCCAAATGTTCAAAGTGACGAATGGGGAAATAAGAAAGATTTCAATTTGCTTTGAGAGTTTATTTACAAATCGAAATCTGTAGATTTTAGTTGAATTTCTCGGGGAAATCCCCGATTTTCACACATTTCCCATCAACTTCTCGTAGGAATCCCTTCTCACATTCACAACCCCAGAAACCATCGAGAGTCCTAAATTTTGGAGTTTTTAAAAGAACATTTTGTAAATCATTTTGAAAAGAAACACTCTAGAGAAAGCTTTCGTAAACCACTTCAAGAAAAGTTAGACTAAAGCTGAAGCTGGGATTGGGAGTTGAGCTAGTGAAAGCTCAAGAGTTGAGTTAGTGAAAGCTCAAGAGTTGAGCTAGTGAAAGCTCAACTCTTGAGCCGAATCTTTAGCTCAATCGAGAAATTTCCCATTGTCCTACTCTATTTAATTCTGATTTGCATCTCAAAGATTACCAATAAATTGAGCAGAAAATATTTATAAACAGCCATTTCTTTTGTGCTGTGCCGGAGAATGATATAGACACCGAAGCCATTGATGAAAAATATTAGCACCGCGTTCGTTCGCCAAATCAGCTGAATGCGTTTGATCTTTAAAGATTTCCCAAGTGAATGGATGCATGATTAGATGCAAGATCAGTAAAAATTGTTTGTCAGACTTTAGCTCAACAGTATCCAACACAAGATTCAACCAAAAAACTCGAAAAACCAAAAACCCACCACCAGCCACAGCTGCGTATCCACCGGGATCACGACTTCGTTAACCCACATAAAAATGCAAAGTTTCAGCTTCGATACCAAAATTTCCGATAATTATGGTTTCGGAAAAAAATCGATACTCTCAAAAAGCATAATCACGGCTCTTTTTCATCCTTTGAAGAGACAAAAATGACAAAAAAACAGTGAAAGTCGTAATTTTCTTGAAATAGCAATTTGATCTGAAAGTTAAGAAGCTCAATTCTGAATCACCCAATCCAGATTCGTATGTGCTTCTAAAGTTAAAACATAACAAAATAGGTTCTGGTTCGATTACAGGCAAAGTCACTGCCTTGCTAAAATTCTTAAGCTACGCTTGACAAATCGTTTCATATTCACATTATCCACCTTTCCAATGTCACTGAAATTTTATCGCTTCAAGATTTTAAAATCGATGAAAGAAAACAACAAAAAAATATCCAAGTAAACACATAAAAACAAAACAAAATTAAATTAACTTTTTGAAATACATTAATGTCGCATAACATTGCAGATCGTAGTGGTTTTTGAGTTGCTCAGAGTTCTCTGAATTGATACAATCGATTGTGAAATCTTCCTGCTCCTTGGTGAAATTCTGGGCGGTTGGGGCGGCGGCTGGCGATTTGGCGGGCGTCTGTTGCACGACCGGGGAAAGGGTCACTAAAAAAGATAAGATAAAATTAAGCACACAAAAGCATACACAAAGCAGCAGAAGCGAGGCCGGTAGCAGAAGAGAAGCCGGTTGAGGGCAGAGAAGTCGAGGAGAGGGTCGTGGAAAGCGACGTGATGGAGCCGTGGTCGATTGGCGGAGCCAGCAAAGCATCGAGCGCCGGGAAGGCACGTTGCTCGGTCAGAGGCGGAGGCACCTCGCCGGCATCCATGTGAAGCATGATGTCGGCGCCAGTTGCTTGCTGCTCGCAAAAGTTGGCGAGCTCGATCGCTAAAACCAAGATTTAAGAGATTTGAAAAGAAAAAAGACATACCGAAGTGGTCGCTGCCTGTAATTGGTTTTCGGCCGGGTCCGAGCGGCATCCCGCACTCTTGAATGGCGATGGCAAACTGGTCGCAGACTTTGAGGCCGTCATCGTCGTCGCCGACACCATCGTCTTGTCCCTGGAAATTTTAAATATAATTAAGTAGAGCATAAACACAAATAAATAGTATAGACAAATAGCAAATTTACCTCACGACTTTGCACTTCTTGTTCCACCGTTGATTCTACATTTGTCGTTGAACGAGCTCTTGAACCAGCTTTCGGCTTCGGTGAAGATTCGCGACTTTTTTCTTTGCTCGTTGCAGCTTTCGGCTTCGGTGAAGATTCGCGACTTGTTTCTTTGCTCGTTGCAGCTTTCCTCTTCATCGATGAACGAGCTCGGGAATCCTTTTCTTCATCTTTTGTCGTGCGAGTCGGCGTCTTCATTCCACTTTTTGACCGTGACGAGCGGGCTCGTCGCTTCTTCCGCTTCACCTTTGTCTTCTCGTAATCCATGAGCACGTGCGGACATCCTTTGAACGATTCTCTCGGTTCCCACGTCATCTCATCGTAGCCAACCCATTTCGTTTGGTAGAGAAACTCCCCTTCATGAAAGGCGTCGGCGAGAATTTTCTCGACTTCGTACAGCTCTTCTTTCTCTTCATCGTTTGACTCGGCAATCTTCGTGGGCTGGCTCGATGCGGTCTTTCGTTTCATCGTGGACAGCCTAAAATGAGAAACTTAGTTAATGTGCAAAAAAAATAAATAGAAAAACAATTAAAATATACAAAAAGGGGTCAAATCTTGGATTCCTAGACTAAATAGCTTTAAATCCGTTAAAAACGTCAAAGACGAAGCATTAATGGGTCGATATTTCCATATATTTGCATTTTTAAGTAGTAAATGTTGTTTTAAAATCGTTAAATCAGCGGAAATGCGAAATTCGGGAGTTTTTCTTGAAAAAACAAATGAATGAATGGATTTAAAAATGGACTATAAAACGCGCCAGAAAAGCACAGTTTAGAAAACGAGAAAGCGTCGTTTTTGGGGAAATTGTTTTTCCACACAAATGATGCAACTGTCAAGTGTTTTTAGCATTTAATTGTATATTTAACGTACTAAGCATATAAGCGTTGATGAAAACCGTTAAAAAGCCGCTCAACGTCTAGAAATGCTAAACGAGGCTTTAAGGCGTACTTTATGCTCAAAAGTACGTAAAGACACGTTTTCTGGTGCACTCAAATCTCTAACCATTCCGGATCATCGATTTTAATACGCATAGTTTAACGATATCAAAAAAGGATAAAAAGACAAATTTTCAGATCAGGACGAAACTCTAGCCAAATTTTTGCAAAATCTTATATCAAAATCAAAGCAAAAAAATATCAATGGACTTCCTGCATTCACAAAAATTCTTCTACACCAATTCAAAGATTTATTTGAGTACAAATATTCCCCAGAAAAACACCAATTCACAAATCATTCGCATTTCTTGCATTTTTCCTCAAAATTCCTCGGCTTCTTCTTCGTACAATCGAGTGAGATCAGAAAGAAGACAATCCGTAAACTCTTCAATATCGGCTCCATTCTTGCGCCAGTATTTGATCAACTAAATAGAATAAGCAATAAGTTTACTCATTCAAAATTAATTCATAAAAATTACTCACATCTTTCCCAGCCCACGTACTTTCTTTGCACAGTCCAATGTGTATGACGAGATCTTCAAGCACCGGATAAACCTACAAACTTCTCATAGCCTCTGTATGGAAAGTGTCTACCTCTTTAGTCGAGTGTTGCAACTTTTCTTGCATCTCGGGAGTCCATGCACGATTCTCGGAGAAAACGAGCAGACGACCAATCGCAGCAGCAACCAATGATGGCTTCACAGAGGTCAACGATGGGGCGAAAACTGAAAAAAAAACTTTGATAAGCTACGGTAGATAAAAACTATAAAACTTCACCTGAAAGAACAGCTAAAAGCTTTGCACGGGAATGTCGTTGGTTGGAGAGGCGATCACGGGATGAGAGCGGGGTGATTGCTTCCTGGAAAGATAAAAAAATAAAACATTACAATTAAAACCCTACTAGAACCAAGCGTGTAAAATCCATCACCGAGTGTCGGCCGAGCTCGAAATTGCAAAGTTCTAGGAGCTGGAAGAAATTTTTAGAACAAGAACAGAAATTTAGATCAACCACATGCTCATAACGATTGATCTCGGCGATTTTAAAGGTGCGAACAAGGTCCTCGGCAAGGGGGCACTAAAAGAAATTGATAAACTAATAGCTACTATAACATTAGATCTTTATTATCAAAAATAAGCCTGTGTCTCGAATTTGACGGCCAATTGAAGAGCGGCAAGGCCAGCAGATTCGAGTCGTTTTTCCTCATCTTTCAGCTGAGTACCCGATAGTAACTAAGATGTTGTAAATAGACAAAGTCACGTGAAAACTCACCACAAGAAAACGATCCAACAAGTGCACGGCGAGGAAAAAGCTGTTCGTCGGGTGATAGCAAGGCTAAAACTAAAGTAACAAGTAGATTTCTTGAATTTTACATGATAGCTCCAAATCTCGTGCAACCAGGCATAATAGACGGTCCTTTTGCGATCACCGAACTGCGAATGGTCGAAGTTGATGGGTAGAAACTAAACAAAATGAAATTGAATGGATTCAAAGCACCGATTACCTGATATGCGTACATGTAGAGAATATTATCAGCGAGGATTGATGCGCATCGCTCGTCACTCACATTTGACACAGGGAGATTCGCGCGTGGCTCGACATCGCCTCCAATTGGCTCCTAAAAGCTCAAGAATTTAAGAACCATTACTTTTACGAGTCACAAAGAAACTCACCTCCACGCGATGTCTGACCAAATTCGAGAGCACTCCCTTGAAGCGGCTGTAGATGTGAGTGGCCATCGAAACGCCTGTGCTTCTCTAAAAAAAGACAAAAGTTATTGGACTTATAATTTAACTAACTTATAATATACTTATAAAATACTTATAATATAATTCTAAGTTACTTACTCGATTTCCAGGAGCTTCCGAGGCAGAACGTCGCAATTTCTCCGTCTTTTGCATGGCTCGGCGCGAGACCTGAAGAAAATGACAGTAAAAAACTCTAATAGAACGCCCCTCTCCCCTATAGGAGCGCCGCGTAGTCTAAGTTTACTCTCAAAGAACCGCTCATATCTCGACGCACAGACATTTGCTTCTGCGCGCTTGGGTATCAAATTAAAGTAGAGAGAGAGTGGATGATTTCTCGAGATATAACACACACTTTTAGCATTAACCAGCGCTAACCAGCATTAACCAGCGAAAATCGGCTCTTTTTTGCCACTTTTCAATCATTTTGTTCTAAGCGCTGGTTAATGCTAGAAACAAGTGTTATATCTCGAAAAATCACCCATTATCTCCACTTTAATTTGATACCTAAGTGCGCAGAAGCAAATGTCTGCGCATCGAGATATGAGCGGTTCTTCGAGAGTCAACTCAAATTACGCGACGCTCCTATAGTGGGTTTCTGTTAGAGTATTTACGGTAACTTAAGATAAATCACTAAGCACAACACAATCAAATATACTAAAACCGACCACATTTCTTTGATCTTGCAGTGGGGCCCTTGATCGATCGATGTGTCCCTCGATTCGCATATTCCGCATCGTTGTCCATTTGGTGGCTCGTGGTGGCATCTTCTCGATCGCCTCATCTTCGTTCACTTCGCCCTAAAATTAAATCACTTACAGCACTCCTTCTATCAGAATTTATCAGCCTATTAGGTCTCAAAAAGTACACACAATAAGTGCTGGGACGAATGATTTCCTGATTTTTTTGCTCAAAACAAAAGACATTTGGTATTAGCACGAGCCAAGTATGTTATGAATTTTTTTTTTTTTGAAAAGAGACAAAAATTTCACTCACAATCGAGACAGAGATCGAGCGGCGACGTGTAGAATTGGCCATCTAATGCAAAAAGTTTTTAAATTCAAAAATTTCAACAAACTTAAGCTACCTTAAACTCAAAAACAATAAAATCAAAGAAAATCAAAGAAAACTCACATCGTCAATTCGTTGAAAATTTGCTAGCTCAGACGAATTTGAAGCGAATCGACGAGAAAGCCGCGGAGAGAAAGTGACATGAAATGAAATGGAGGGAAGAAATTGCTTAGTTTTAAATCGTGTTTAAATGCAAATTTGCCATGTAAATTTAATCTTCAAATTCATCGAAGTTGACTGAAATTTGGGTTTAAGTTGCCATATAAAACCTTTTCGAAGAAAGAGAAAATCATTCTTTTCGCATGCGTCTCTTCGTTCTCATCTCTTTCCTTGCCGTCGTCGTTACTTCACTTCGAGAAGAGCCGGGAGTCACTGGAAAAGATGCTGTTTGTTTTTTTGTAACGTTTTTGACTTCTTCTTCGCATAGTGAAGTTGTTTTTGATAAGTTTCGTTGAAAGTGTTCGGCGTTACCTTCTTGTTGTTAAGTTCAAGTTAAAATTGGGCTAGATTTGTGCACAGTTTGCCAAGAAAAGAAAGCATTTCAGTTCTAGCATCATTTAAAGAGTGTATTTGGATCAAATTAAACCAATTGCTACCACAAAATCACTATTTTCACTATTTTTATTTACTTAACCGGCTCAACTTGTTAATATTTTGTTGTTCAGTCCGCAACAACTTCAAAAACGACGACAAATTTGTATCCTATTGACGAGGTGAGAGAGAATTTTATGTTTTTATCGATTTCTTGATTTAGGAGCCAACAAAGACGACCATTTGGACGGTTTTTTTTCAAAAATAAACTACTGATCTTTGTTTTTAGACAACAAACAGTCTAGAAGTGTCCACAACAACTCCATTAGTAAATGAGAAGTGCGAAATCATCACATTGCCGATAGAATGCTACTATTACTCCGAAAGGCTAATGACACATCGTGAAAAGGTCTTTTTCTTGACATTCTTAGCTTTAACAACTCACATTTTAGATACGGGAAAACGTTTGCGATTGTGCGATTGGTGGTCGAGAGAACGAAAGCATCAAGTACTGTGAATGGAACAAAATTTATCAAACGAGTGGGTTTTTTTGAGTATCTTTACTTGTTTTGAAATCAATTTAGATGGAACACATTTCGATCAGTGCACGATTGTAACGAAAGTTTGCCCGGGATGCCCGCCAACGAATGATACGTGCAAGGACGCGTTTAGCAATGAGTTTACAAAGTAACGTTCGATTTGTCTTTTAAATCACAACTCAAATGTTCAGATGTTTCATGCCAGCAAGCCAATACCCACACACATTTCCCCCGCGTCAAGCCTCGGTGCTCCCGTCTTTGGAGTTGGACCTCAAGAAGTGTGATTATAGGAATAATTCGGTATGCAATTGCTGTTTCTTCATATTCTTGATCAACTTTAGGGAATGTTCTCTGGAATGACGTCGGTTAGAGATGAGGAGTTCTACCAGTATCTGCTGACTTGCGAACTTCCAGCGTGTGGACCTCGTCTTCGCTTACCGGCAGCAGATAATGGGACTCATCCGAGGTATGGTCGTTTTTAGGTCCTGACCTTTCGCTCAACTTAACTTTAGCTTAACATCTTAGGCTTTGAACATTATCGTTCTCATTAAATTGTTATTCTTTAGCTTCCAATGGTGTCTTCCTCCTATCATGAATAGCGTCTCACAGTTGGAAGTTAGTTGATATAAATCTTTGGCTTTGGTACATTGATCGAAAATTTAGTATTGTCCACTCTATTCGCAAAAAATCCCGACTTTTGGTGGTTTCAGCGACACTCAAGCTTTTCATGCGCTCGAATATGATACGGTTTGTAGTATTACATTGTTAAAAACTTGTTTTGATTTTAGATGTGTGTCTTGCCGCCACTATGTGGGAATGATGGAAAAGTTGATCGGTGAGGATTTTAAGCGACTTTTTGATGAAATCTTTATTTCCAGAAAGAAATTCATGGCTCCATTAGTGAATGGCAAATGGGATGAGACTTATTGTGAGCGAGTGTGCAATGAAAATGAGATGTGAGTGGTTTCGATTAGAAATTTTACCTTTAGTTTGGCTAAAGTATGTCGATTCTAGCTTATACGTTTCTTTTTAGAGAAAAAGATTGCATCCCGGTGCCGCCATGTGAAGGAAATCAAACAATCACTCCTGATCCACGTGCAAATCGATTTACAAAGGTTAGTTTTTGAAAGCAATAGTTATTATTAGGTTGACTCATCAATTCTAGGTTGATCGATGCTCTCGTTGGTGCACTGAAGAAGAATCTGTCAAGAAGAATCAGACCGAGTCGCCGTGCATTCGACTCCCAATATGTGATTTTGATGGAAAACCGGTAATATCTAATATTTAAAAAAGAAATCACCGTAAATCTTCTAATAGAAGCACCCCCTATAGGAGCGACGCGTAATCTAAGTTTACTCTCAAACAAACGCTCATATCTCGACGCGCAGACATTTACTTCGGCGCGCTTGAGTATCAAATTAAAGTAGAGAGAATGGGTGATTTTTCGAGATATAAAACGAGATTTTTTTGCCACTTTTCAATCATTTGTTCTAAGCGCTGGTTAATGCTAAAAATAAGTGTTATATCTCGAAAAATCACCCATTATCTCGACTTGAATTTGATACCTAAGTGCGCAGATGCAAATATCTGCGCGTCGAGATATGAGCGGTTCTTTGAGTGTAAACTTAGACTCCGCTACGCCCCTATAGGGGATTTCTGTTAGAGTATTTACGATACATTCATTTACAAGTTCAATGTTTTTTCTTTAGAGACCTCGCCTGAACCCTTGGCACACTTCTCGCTGCGTGATGATCAAGAATTGTATCGAAGGACAGAACAAGTCCACGGTTGGATTTGATCATGCCTATTTTTAAGCTTCATTTCAGCATTTATGCAAAGAAACGGTATCACTAGACAATCAAGTGAGTGCTAATGGGCTTTTCGTTTTCATGTTCATGTTTTAGAATCTCTCATCTCCACATTTTGCTGGTCGAATAGGTATGTTTTCGTGACTTGTTTCATAATAAAGTTAAACTAATACAGTTTTGGAACAAGTAGTAGTCTCTTAGTTACATATTAGAAGAGTTTTTAATTTTTAGTGGCTAGTGTGATTTCTTTGGCTGCGTGTGGTCTACTAATTTTGTGTACACTGAGCTGTTGCCTGTTTGAAGTCGAAAGATGGGATCAAGAAAAGAAACGTGAAGTGAGTTGCTTTAGCTTTTTGAAGCTTAATCTTCATTTGGACATAGGATTTAGCTAACCGAACTGTTGCGCTAGTCTAGAGGTTAATCTTTGAACTTTAGGATGAATGCCGAGAGCGTGGATTGGAATGGAAGGATTATAAACGATTGAGAGAGGCTTTTTGCAAAGAGGTTGGTTGTTTTATGTTCAACTATTTGAGTTATTTGTGATTTTAGAGTGCTTTGGGAAACTACAATCCTCGCAATCTTCGTCAGGGTAGCTTTCCTTATAAATTCTTTATAACTTGTATGAAGTATTGTTATAGTACTATCCTTTTTACAGTAGTTTGACTAATACCATTTGTTTAGCCCTTGTCACTGCTCGGAAACGACTCGTAGGGGAAGAAAAAGAGGGCAGCCAACGAACGACAACACTAGAACCAATCCCACAACAACAACAACAGGAAAAACTGGAGAAGACTAAAAACACGGACAAATAAGGTATTAGTGATTATTGTTTTATTCCACAAACTTACAAATCTTTGTATTTAGTGAAGACGAACGATTTGTGAAGCTCGACTTCTTTCGATTAATTAAACGAAGTCGAGCTTTGAAACAAAAATGCGCAATTCTTTTAAGTCTTTTTGATCTCGTGTTTTTTTGAGAATAAAGAAGGAAAATGTCTGTGAAGTGATGGATTTGTACTTGACTTACCGTATTTACTCGAATAGAAGACTGGTCTCGATTATAAGACCGTCTCGAATAGAAGACCTATCTTATATTCAAGGTACCCTGTTTTTGGGGTCTAGGGGGTGAATGAAAAAAATAGAAGACCGGCCTTCTATTCCAGTAAATACGTTATAATTGTTAGTAACCTATTCTACCGTAATCAGAGAAAATATTACGATACTTTGCGAAAGTGGACACGTTTTAGAAGACAATTAGGCATTACGGTAGAATAGTTGTGAATTTATCCAATCAATTGTCCAATTATCACGGTAGATATGCTTGTATTTATCACAATCCAATTATACGACCAACAGATGAGAAAAATGAGCAGATCTTGGACAATTCTATATGGGAAATTGTTGTACAAGGGAAAGCTTATAAGTGTTATTCAATTTCTTCGAATTTCTATCCAATTCGTTCACCAATTTGTCAAATGGAGTCTCTTCCCGTTGAAGTCGTCTCGAAGATCTTTGCGCATCTTGTCAAAGATCCTCAACAACATGGGATTGGGTTGGTTTTTGAAAGCAATTTTATTGTTGTTTAACTTTTTGACTAAACAAGTAAAATTGGCTAGACTTTCTAAGCAATCTTTTTATTTCAGTGAACTCGAAACGATTCGTCGTTTGACCGAAGTGTGGCCTTGGATCGGAAAAGTTGTCGTCTACAAACCAACGACTATCCGAACACTCGAGATTTTGAATGATCAATTTTTCGTTGATGGATTGAGACTGACTGATGAAGAGCAACGGTGGGTTGTGGATCGGATTATAGATAGGATTGGATTGGATAGGATTGGATAGGATTGGATAGGATTGTGGATAGGATTGTGGATAGGATTGAATAGGATTGTGTATAGGATTGGATAGGATTGGATTACAGATAGGATTGGATTGGATTGTGGATAGGATTAGCATGGTTACATAAAATTTCTTCCAAGACATACCAATTTGTGCTAACTGTAGGGTTACTGTAGCTAAAACGAAGTCATTATTGTATTGATTACTGTACTCAATTCGATCTTTTTTAAGCTATCTTCCCTATTTTCATCCAGAGATGATCCGAATCAAAGAAATGCCGACTGTTGACCTGCTCGCCTCAACAAAATACAAGGAAACTCTACGAAAAGTGTCCACCAATTGCAAACAGATTGTGAGTTTTGTTAAGAAATGGAATGGGCTAGAGATTACGCTAGTTTTTAGACGTAGTTTACTCAGTTTTAAAGGTAGTTTACACATTTTACAAGAGCTTACCCCCAAGATTTCAGATTTTCGAGCACTTTCACCACTCAATCGACAGCATCGAGCAACGTGAGCTCATCATTTCCTCTCTGCACCCCAATCCATTCAATCACTGCCATCGAGAGATCCATTTCCGCACCAATCCCGAGCTCTCAATCATCGACGCGTACACTCACCTCTTTCATCATATCCATTTCGAGACCCTCCAAATCGATCACCACAATTTCTCCTATATCATCTGGTGCTTCATGGTCTCCCCAATACTTAAAACCATACGCTTCCCGCCGATCTTCTTCCTTCCGTTCAATCTTTTCACTCATTTACATGATTCGGATGGAAAACGATTATCCGATTTCTCATTATTCAAGAATGAGACATCGACCGCTTTCCTTCTTCGTGCTGATCAAAAAGATTGGGGCTGGTTGTTCTACAATTCGAAACTCACTCATCCACAATTTGAATATCAGAATTTTCCAAAGAACTTTCAAATCTTTGCCAAAGTTTTCATCGAGATCGATCATGTGATTTTTGTGAAAAGTGATGAGAAATGCTGCCGAGATATGCCGAAAGCTAGCTTTTCTCAGGAATATTTGTGATTTCTCCGATAGCTTTGCTCATATTGAAGTCGTTTTTTCTATTCCAATTTTGCACCTCTTTATTAGTCATTTCCTAAAAAGTGGCCCACCGTATCCCGACATCTTTTTTGGCTACCGTAATCAAGATGTTTTTCAGACGAAAACACCAAATTTCTCATTTGGTCCGAATTTAATATTTTTTTTATTTCCAATTGTTGCGAATTTATTTATTTTTCTTGTTAATTTATTCTATTATCATTATTCTATTGATTCTATTAGGTTGTCCGGAAATAAATGAGCGTTTTTAAGTTGAATATTTAAAGTACCATAACTTGATCCAAACAAAACTTTATTAATCGAAATAAGAACCATTACAATTAACACATTCTTGCCAACGAGAAACAAGTTTATTTATGCTGGTAGCATAGATGTCCGGGCTTCTGGTGGCGATAAAGTCGGCGAAGGCGTTTTTGGCATCATCTTGAGTGTTGTAGCACTTCTCCTGGAGAAAGTTGTCGAGGTGCTTGAAAAAGTGGTAGTCGGTAAGCAAAAGATCAGGCGAATATGGCAGGTGAGGCAAAGTTTCGTAGCTCAGTTCGTTTAGCTTTTGCAGGGTCGGTTGTGCGACGTCCGGACAAGCGTTGTCGTGGAGAAGAATTGGACCTTTTCTGTTGACCAATGCCGGGCACATTCGCCGCAACTTCTGGTGCATTTGGTGATTTGTTGGCAGTACTTCTTCGCCGTAATCGCTTCGCCCGGATTCAGAAAGCTGTGATGGATTAGACCGGCTGCGGACCACCAAACAGTCACCATAACCTTCTTTTGGTGCAAATTTGGCTTTGGAAAGTGTTGTGGAGCCTCTCCGGCGTCCAACCACTGAGCGGAACGTCACCAGTTGTCGTAGAGGATCCACTTTCATCGCACGTCACGGTCCGGTCGAGAAATGGGTCGTTTTTGTTGCGCTGAAGAAGAGCAGACGACACCTCAAAACGACAATTTTTTTGATTCTCGTTCAATTCGTGCGGCACCCATTTATCGAGCTTTTTTGACCTTCCAATCCGTTTCGGGTGGCCGGAAATCATCGTCTTGGCCACGCCAAGCTCCTCCGCAAGCTTTCGAATAGTCGTACGTGGATTTGCTTCCACCAGGGTCTTCATTTCGTCGTCATCGAGTTCAACAGGACGGCCAAGGCCTTCCTTATCTTCGAGATCCAAATCATCACCTCGGAATTTTCGGAACCAAGTTCGCACTGTTGACTCGCCGACACTGCCTTGGCCCCAAACTTCGTTAATGTTACGAGCCGCTTCAGCTGCATTGTGACCGAGTTTGAACTCATAAAAGAAAATCTGGCGAAAGTTAGTTTCGGACATCTAAAACGGCGAAGCTTAAAATTCGCAAAAAATTTTATTTTCAGCAAAATTTAAAAGCATCGTTAAAGAGAGTGCGAACTCAGCTTTCTAATGGTATATAACATTACAAGGTACAGAGCATACTTTATTGAGAAAAATGCACCCAAATAATAAACAATACAAAACGCTCATTTATTTCCGGACAACCTAATATTATCTCTATTATCTCTATTATCAAATATCATTGATAGTTCAAAGAAAAAATAGTTTTTTTTCCTGAAAAGAACCCAAAAATTCGAAAATCTCATATGCAGAACCGTTTTTGCCTAAAAAATGCACCCATTTTCCAAAAAAAAAACTAAAAAAATTTACGCTGAAAAACGTTTTTCTTGAGTTTTCCGTAGAATCGCTTAAGAAATTTCATTGTTTTTTGCTCGAAAACATGAAAAACGTTTGTTCAAAGTTCAAAAAAACAGGCAAACACCATAGAAACACGAGGAAAATTCGACTTTTTCCTCGTTTTTCCTTTCTTTTTGGCTGATTTTTAAATAGCCGAATGCGGGGAAAAAGGAAAAAGTGATTGAAAAGCGACTGGGTGATTGAAGATTTCAAATGCCGGATTTTTCTACTTAACAAAAGTCTTCTTTGACGTTTTTGAGAAAACTTGGCAATTGTTTACAAAGCTGAACAGACAAATTGATACTGTTTAATGAAAACTATACTAGGAGCCTATGTACTACTATTTTATAATCCGGTTGTACCTTTACGGTTAGCGGGGGGTCGAGCTTTTGACCAACTTGCAGCCCGATTTTATTGATAGGCTTTTATTGAGAATTTTTTTTATGAAAAAAAATAGTTTCTGAAAGCTGATTTTCTAAGCTATCCAAATATTATGAAAACTTTTTGATCTGACAAGTTTAAGGTGCTTAAAAATAAGCTGCAAGTTGGTCAAAAGCTCCGACCCCCACGAAAAGTAGTTCCGGATTCTCCCCACCCGGTTCCCAAATGAAAATAGATTTCTTTCCCATTTCAAGAAAAGAAACACAAAATTTATCGCGTAAAACAATAATTTCAATCAATCCGACAAAAACATAACAAAAAAACAAAATGATTTTAAAAAATGAAAAAGAAACGACGACGCGACGCTCCCATCGACGACATCGAAATGGCGGCGACGTCAATTGGAATGCGACGTCGCGCGAAAACTAACATTTAAAATTTGCGACAGAAATTAAAATTTAACATGAAAGCGTCTCGAAATCATTCTCTACTATTACCGTATTTCTTCGAATAGAAGACCGGGTAAAGAGTATCATCGCGTACTCCTGCGTAGCAGCCCTTTTTAAAATTTCTTTCCTGCATAAAAGCTTTCAATGAAGTGCTATAGGGCTGGAAAATGACTCAAAAATACGACATGAGCTAACAGATTTTTGAGCCATTTTCCAGCTCTATAGCACTTGATTGAAAGCTTTTATGCAGAAAAGAAATTTTAAAAAGGGCTGCTACGCAGGAGTACGCGATGATACTCTTTACCCGGTCTTCTATTCGAAGAAATACGGTATTTGGTAAACAGTTACCGTACAGAGTAGCACAGAGTACTGCTACTGGATCCAGAAAGGAAGTGGCTATTGTGTTCTTTGATTTCAGCCAAATGGTCTCGCCTAGTTCTGACCGGGTAACTCTTAGAATATGCCTAAACTAAAAAAAAAAATCTCTATATTTAATTGCAGAATTGTGCATTTGTAATCTAGCTTTGTGTGCATCGATGCAAGTCACAGATAAATCGTTTTGAAAACTTCAATCACCCAGCTCATACCTTAAAAATCCTGTTTCTTTTCTCAAACTTTTTTCCATTTCCACCTCGTTTTTTCATTTTCTTGTGTAAAAGTGCTTAAAAATTGACGGAAAAGAAAGCGAATTTCCCCCACACAAACACCAAAAAAATACCGTATTCCGTGGATAAAAGAAAACCAGAAAACAGAATTTTCTCACTTTTTTCGGGAAATGATTCAAATTTTGAGTTTTCTGGCTTTTTTGTGGCTGAATGAGATTCGATCGGCTGGGGTGAGTCGATAGGTTTAGTCTTGGCCTTGGCCTTGACTTGACCAGATCTAATCTGAATCTAGCCTTGGCCTTGACTTGACCAGATCTAATCTGAATCTAGCCTTGGCCTTGACTTGACCAGATCTAATCTGAATCTAGCCTTCACCTAGCCTGCCCCTCTATGGTATCCGGGTACAACTATGTTTTGCACCTAATCCGGGCAAGAGACCAAATCTAAACGAGGCTAGGTCAAGCTGAGAGGTCAAGGTGGCCAGCTCAAACTGGCCAGTGATCGATCAACACACCCTAGAGCTTGTAAGTTATTCCAAGCCAGGTCCAGCTCTGGTTTCTCGTAGATCTTTGTTGATTTGTATCCGGAAAATGACTTTATTGAGATCACCTTGGTGGGTGAGAATGGAAAAAATACTTGTGAATTTGGGGATGCAAGTTGCGGAAAAGGATTTGTTTACGAGAAATTAGTTTTGACTCAAAGCTGCACTAGTTTCTGGATTGAGATTCGGTCTTTACACGACTTTGGATCTGGTTTAGGTCGATCTGTACACTAGCTCTGGAACTAGAAAGTATTTGTTTACAAGCAATTTTGGCGAGTTCAAAAGTCCCGATAAATATTGAACAAATGACGAGAAGAGAAAAGAAAAGAAAAGAGCAGCAATTACTAACAAAAAACTTTCTTTTCCAGCTGCCCACCAATCCAAGTAATCCACCGGTTGGCTGTCCGAATTTTGGAACTTGCATCAATAATCAATATGATTTAAGCTATCCATACTATCAATGTGTCATCGGGTTTTGTCAGGTAATAAACAAACAAAAAAAAAACATTAGCGATTAGCTACCTTTAGCTGAAGTATTAGGTTGATGCAAAAGTCTTTTTCATTTTTTTCGTACTTCTTTTGAAAAATAAAAAAGTCATCAATTAACCTATGGTTTGCTCTAAATGAAAAGTGTTTATTGTTGAATTTCCCATCTTTTTAAGTCAATTTGGGTTCACTTTCAAGCAAATTCGAGAGTGAAAACGGGTTTTTCATAAAAATCTATAAAAACCTCTATAAAGAAATTGGCTGAATCAATTTCTCTGAAAATCTGAAAAAAACATCTAACTTTTTGTGCTCTATCTTTTATTTATTGGGTTGATGCATAATTATCCGGACTTCTTTTTGCGTGCTTGTATCTTTTTTGTTTTGAAAGCTTTTTGTCTATTTCTTTTTTTTAAATATTCGTTATTCTTTAGTGAACAAAATGCGTGTCGACAATCATATCCATCTTCGCCATATCATGCTCTACCACTTCGAAAAGGGATGGTCTGCCGCAGAGTCGTTTCGCGATCTCAAAGAACTGGAGAAGCCCCAACGGACTACCACGTCAATCGATCGCTCAAAAATTGGCAAACAAATAAGATCTACAACAATTTGGATGACTTGATAGACGATGTTAAAGCGTGGATTGCCTCCAAAGATCGTTTATTCTTCGCTCGTGGAATCGATCGTCTTCCAAGCAAATGGCAATCAGTTATTGATGTAGGCGGTGAATATGCTCCAGAATAATCAATTAAACATATTTTTCTAACTATTTATGTTATTTTTTGTTAAATAAAATCATTTATAAAAAGAAGTCCGATAATTATGCATCAACCCAATATTAACATCAAGATTGGTTTCCTTAGCTAAAGCGTCTAAAATGCATCATCGAGCCGTCGCCTTTTTTGACTACCCGACTTCAGGCTCTCAAAAAAAATCTAGACATAAGACATTTTAAACTCGTTTTAATGTCATTTTGCAGAAAAATAATTGGCCTTTCGAATGCAATAAACCGTTGTTCAATTGGTGCATTTGTTACTTTTTAACGGAAGTACGAAAAAAATGAAAAAGACTTTTGCATCAACCTAATAGATGAAGTATCAAATATCCAAATATCAGAATCACGAAACTTTAGTGCAATACGGGCACTGAGAATGCGGCTTTTGCGGAAACGGCTTTCGCTCCATCGACGGTTGATCCAAAAAAAAAAAAAAAAAAAAAAAAAAAAAAAAAAAAAAAAAAAAAAAAAAAAAAAAAAAAAAAAAAAAAAAAAAAAAAAAAAAAAAAAAAAAAAAAAAAAAAAAAAAAAAAAAAAAAAAAAAAAAAAAAAAAAAAAAAAAAAAAAAAAAAAAAAAAAAAAAAAAAAAAAAAAAAAAAAAAAAAAAAAAAAAAAAAAAAAAAAAAAAAAAAAAAAAAAAAAAAAAAAAAAAAAAAAAAAAAACAATCAATATTGCTCCGTGAGTAAGTGAGGAAGCAAAAAAAAAAAGCAAAACCCTTCATAAATCTCTTTTAAATTCCTCTTAATCGACCGTAACTTGGCTAGTTGGCTAGTTGAGCTTTTCCAGAAACCTACCGTAATCTTGCTATTGTTTAGAATTGTCTTTGTAGTGTCCTTAAGTGGAAACACACTCTCTCTAGCATCTCAACGGCTCTTACAGCTTTTAAGCTTTACAAGGAGATTGTACTAGTACAAATCTTTAAGTCATTCAAAGATAAAACCTTATTCTTTATAAATTTGCATATGAATTGTTTTGGCTTTCGTTTTTGGCTCGTTTTTGACTCGTTTTTTGGCTTGGGCAATCGTCCCGACTTTCCATTCAACGTAATAGCAATGTTAAAAGTGTTTTTAAGATACTTAAACGACATTTGACAAGCGGATTCTTTCGTTTTCATTTCGAAAAGATTTCTAAACTAATAAACTGGCTTCATGCCTCAAAAACAGATCAGCGTTTTTATCAAGAACTCTCAAAAAAGCATCTCTAAAGCATTTCCCCATAAATCTAGGTCATCGAAAAAACTTCTGTATTCAATTTTTCCTAAAAACTAAAAAATTGGAAGCATTTTTCATATAAAAATATTTAAATCCGAGAGTTTTTGCATAAACAAAGCGGTCAGCGACAAAGCGAACAAAGCGGAAATATTGAAAAAGTCAAACTGTAGTTTTTTTCCCGTTCCCGGAACTCTTTTGCAGCTTTTGCAGCTTAGGCATTTATAAGGACAATGAGACTTTTTGAATCTCACTCAAACTTCAAACTTCTATTGTATTGAAAGCTTGTTGATTCGCTCTTGCAAACACACCCTTTCTGGTGCAATGAATTCTTCAAATTTTCTTGTAATTCAAAGGAAACGCTTGATTTTTTTTTTTCAAGAAAAACGAATTCAATTCACCAGAAAGATTGGTGTTTCAATTTTCTGAGCTCACCGTACACCAGAGAATAGACTTCGGCAAACAAAACCAAAACCAAAACAGACCAAAACCAAAACCAAAACCAAAACACCAAAACAGACCAAAACCAAAACCAAAACCAAAACAAACCAACAAACCAAACAAACAAATTTTAAATTGTAAAATGCAAATTTTAATGTAAAATGCAAATTAGCCTTTCACTTTTTCTCACTCCCACAAAATCTCGCGGCCGAAAAAAGGACCAAAACACGACCTCGAAATTTCGAAACAAAAAATAGCCTATGGGATAGATTTTTGGATGCTGATTTCAAATCTGCAAACAGATTTTCGCTAGCTCCTTCCAGTCGCGAGATATTCGCGAGTTTTGGTTAGTTTTGGTTTTGGTTAAGTTTTGTTTTCCGAAGTCTACCAGAGAAGATTCTATTGGGTTGATGGAAAAGTCCTTTCGGATTTTTTGGTAGAGTACCTTAGGCGGAAAGGCTATTGATGATCTGAGGGTCGCTGGTTCGACTTCCACCGGTGACAATATTTTTCAAAAATTTTTTTCGTAAGATTCTGAAAACTTGTGTCTAGGGGTTATTTTTGACGCTGATCACGAAACACATGTTTTTAGCCTAGGTTTCTGCACGGAAAACCAACGAAACGTGAAAACAGCCATTTTTTGGCTTTTTGGCTCTGCCGCCCTTTACTAAAATAGCTGTAAAAACTTTTAGAAAAGAGATATCTCAAAACGGTTTTTACCAATCGATCCGTCTTGAATTCAGCTTTAGGATGAGCTATAAAACGTCAAAATTCGACAAATTTAAGGTACTCTCCCAAAAAATCGGAAAGGATCCACCAGCCCTTTTCCACCAGCCCAATATTTTACAATAGGAATCGACATGTGTGCCTCGATGCCATGCCCGACGAATTCAAACTGCTCCGGGATGATTAACAACTATGTTTGCTTGTGTTATCCCGGTTTATCTGGAAATTACTGTAATGAAAGTAGGGTTTTATATCTCTTTTATCTAACTAAACTCATTAAACATCTACAGTGGAACCTCTCTATAACGTAACTCACGGGACGGCTATAGCTTACGTTATATAGAGGTTTACGTTATATAGAGTGCCGTTTTATATAGCTTAACGTCGGCCGGGACCGGTCACGCCTTACGTTATAGAGAGGTTTACGTTATATCGAGGTTCGTTATAGAGAGGTTCGACTGTATTTGAAAAAGCTACCGTAATCAAATCAATCTTCCATCTGATCAACTCACTTTTTTGTATCATCCATTTTCATGACTTTTGTTTTTGCTTCTTCTAGTTTTGAGTGTTCTCTATCGCACAATCGTACAGCATCTGGCACACCGCTAGATATACATACAACAAATCCAACATCGCCAAAACACTCTAACCATTCAAAGGTCGAAGAAGCCAAAACAAAAACCACAGCGGGACTCGAACCCTAGGGTCCTTGTTCCGTAATCAAGCCCACTACCAATCGACCACCACGACATCTTCCTTTCGCTCTGGTAAATCAACTTATAGCCTTAATGTCTGTTCTGCGATTCCATGCAAAACTTTGAACGCTTAAAACTTTTGACAGAGTGATGCGTTTCAAAAACGGAAAGCAGATTTGGAATCAGCGTAAAATTCTACGTTGGTTAGTATATGGCTGATGTCATTTAGCCACCACATCCTGTTGAAATTCCTTTGTAAGAAACAAGACTTAGCCAGTCGGCCATGACGGCTAATTCGGAATTAAAAGGCTCGAAAATTGGGTTGATTGAATGAAAACTGAAAACTTGTGAATTACGGTAGCTTTTCTGAGTGTCTTTTAGCTTTATAATGATTTTTTCTTTCAGCTGACACCACGTCCGGGGATCCGTGCTCGAGTTCGCCGTGTCAGGTGAGCATAGAAGTATCCGGGTTACAATAAGATATTCAGATCTAATTTATCTATATTTGGGTTACGGTATAATAGAATATTTAGATATTTGGCGATAATTCTATTTAAAAGCAAATAAATGAAATTTTCAGAACGGTGGGACTTGCACGAATGGCGGTCGAGTGGTTGGCGAGAATTACACGTGCGCTTGTGGGTCTGGTTTTTTGGGAAACGTTTGTGAGTGTGAGTCTTTTGGATCTTTTGATATGTAAATTATTTAATATAAAGTATATTTATAGGCTTTTAGAGTAGCCATTTTCATTTTCTAAACACAGTTTTTTGGATGGAAACATTTGCGCCGTTGAATCACCCTGTCAGAATGGAGGCACATGCGTCATGCTGTTTGGTGGAGTCGAACGGTTCGTTTTCTTCGAGAAATTTACATAAAAACTTTTCGAAAACATAGATTAGCTTTTAAAAGATAAAGTCAAGCCTTTTAAATAAGCTGAAAGCTGTAGAGCTGTAGAGCTGTAGAGCTGTAGAGCTGTAGAGCTGTAGAGCTGTAGAGAAATTGTCAAAGCCGTGTACTTTGTGCGCCCCAACGCTTTCCACTTGGCACACTTGCCTTAGATTTATGTGCTAGAAAGCATGCGTTTAGCGGAGGGCAAAGTCAAGTTATTGCAAAGATTACTGTGTTTAGAGTAAACTTTTAGGTACTGTAAATGCACTAGTAACTACCAGGGAGTGAACTGTGAAGTGGAAACGTTTGACTGGTCAGTTTATAGCACTGTATAGGTCTGAAATTTTGCTTAATATCTTGTTTAATAACTAAAGAATCGATAAATTTGTATATTTCAGCAAATGATAACAGTCTTGGATGTTATCAATATGATTCAAATAAATTGAAAAACGCGAACTGTACTTATGTGACGAACAGTCATCAACCGTCCATCCAAGCGTACGGATTTCCATTTTATAGCAATAATAGAGTGTTGTAGGTCTTAAAAAGAAGTACTATAGCGTGCACAGAGTACTATAGAGTACTGTAGGGCTTAAAAAGGGTACGATAGAGTACTGTAGAGTACACAGAGCACTATAGAGTACTGTAGGCCTTAAAAAGAGTCGGATAGAGTACTGTAGCGTACTATAGAGCACTATAGAGTACTGTAGGGCTTAAAAAGGGTACGATAGAGTACTGTAGCGTACACAGAGTACTATAGAGTACTGTAGGGCTTAAAAAGGGTACGATAGAGTACTGTAGAGTACACAGAGCACTATAGAGTATTGTAGGGCTTAAAAAGGGTACGATAGAGTACTGTAGCGTACTATAGAGCACTGTAGGTCTTCAAAAGAGTATGATAGATTGATTTAGAGCACTGTGAGATCTGAAAGTGTATTGTAAAAGGCTTTAAAAGCAATGGGATTACTGTAATACTTAAAGATTATTTTCAGATGTCGAAGCGATTTCCAAACGAATCTAATGAGCGACCCGGCCGAAACGTACTACTGTAAGTACTTTGTACTCACGTAAACAAAACCTTTCTGGTGCACTCAATTCTATTTTTGTTACAGTAAATGAAGAATCGAATGCGCCAGAGAGGATGTGTGTTAGGCACGAAATATTTAGGCACAATGGGAAATCAGTGCTGGATTTGCGAGCTGAACCCAGGTCTTTCCACCTCGACGAACAGCAATTGCAAGAAACTCTGCTGGCAAGAATCCGATGATCTCAGTGTGCAATATGCCGGGTATTTGATGGATTACTGTAGCAATAAAAGAGTATTGTAAATAGTAAGAAGCGTACTGTACTGTAGAACAAAGCTTACAATTTTCTGTCAGAGCTAATGAGACTTGTGGATCATCGAGCGGTGCACAACGATTGCTCTGCTACAAATATAATGATATTGGTGGGTGAGAATGGAGAAAATACTTGTGATTGGGAAAAAGTTGTTGCGAAAAAGCATTTGTTTACAAGAAACTAGTTTTGACTCAAAGCTGCACTAGTTTCTGGATTGAGATTCGGTCTTTAAACGACTTTGGATCTGGTTCAGGTCTAGATTTCGATCTGTAAACGAGCTCTGGACCTGCACACTATAACCATACTTTGAATAACTCTGGATGAATTTGTGAATACAGCCTGAATCGGATTCAGATCTATACTACTACTATATTTTCACCTAATCCGGGCAAGAGACCAAATCTAAAGGTCAGGCTGAGAGGTCAAGGTCAAGCTGAGAGGTCAAGGTGGCCAACTCAAATTGGCCAGCGATCGATCAACACACCCTAGAGCTTGCAAGTTATTTCAAGCCAGGTCCAGCTCTGGTTTCTCGTAGATCTAGGTTCATTTTTATCCGGAAAATGGTTTTATTGGAATCACCTCTATTATGGTCGACGCGTGGATTCGAAGCCGCGGCCTCTCGCTTAACGCTCCACCAATGAGCTACGCCGAGATGACACGCGCGGCTAAAATAAGGCCTTATGCCTTACTCCAGCTGATCTAAAGCTTCTATGTCAGACTTTAGTTGATTTCCCGATCTGCAACGCAACTACCTGCGAAAATGGGGGTCAGTGCGTTGATTTGAAGGGAAATTTGACTCAATGTTTGTGCCCCGTTGGATACACTGGGACATTTTGTGAAACTGGTTTGTTTTTATGGAAGAATTGTGGAAAAAGAGTTCAGCCGCTTCTCCATGCAGTCCAAATCCTTGTCAACATGGGGGCACTTGTGTCAACGGAACCTCGGGCTTCAACTACAATTGTGCTTGTTTACCAGGGTACACCGGCGATCAATGTCAAAGTTGGTTATAGTATTTGGAAAGATTTCAATGGAAATTGAGTACTGCAAAGCTGGAATAGAGTGTGCAGAGTACTGTACTGGACCGAGTATTGAAGAAGGAGTACTTTACTAGAAAGACAGAGAGATAGACAGGCCGGCAGACAGGCAGGCAGGCCGGCAGACAGGCAGGCAGGCCGGCAGACAGGCAGGCAGGCAGGCAGACAGACAGATAGACAGACAGACAGACAGACAGACAGACAAATAGATAGACAGACAGACAGACAGACAAATAGATAGACAGACAGACAGATAGACATACAGACAGATAGACAGACATACAGACAGACAGACAGACAGACAGACAGATAGATAGACAGACAGACAGACAGATAGACAGACAGATAGACAGACAGACAGGCAGGCAGGCAGACAGACAGCTTACGGTAGCTGATTTCAGTGTCTATTTCTAGTCACGATGCACTGCTATTCGACTCCTTGTCAATACGGGAGTCTCTGTGTCGATTACCCGGACTATTCTGGGTACTCGTGTGAATGTTTAAGTCTCTACACTGGCACCAATTGTGACAGTAAGCTTACTTTTATACTCAAATCCTTGCTGGTGCACTGAATTTCTTCCTTGCACTCTTTCTCAGCAAGAAAGAGTGCCTTTTACACTTTCAGTCCCGAACATGTGCCTCTCGGCTCCTTGTCTAAATGGTGGGAATTGCTCGGTCGTCCATCGCTCATTCAATTCCACATTTCATTGTGATTGTCCATCTGGATATACGGGAGGACGATGTCAAGCAAGTAAGTTCGAGGGAATTTAGTGCAAATCTTCTTTTCTAGTAATCGATTTTTGTCTGAGCTACCCATGTGCGAATCAGGGAACGTGTCAAAATGTGAGTGTGGCTTTGGGGGAAGTTTTATAAGAGTTGTACAGGGTGGACATGGGAAAATTCCGAGCCAAACCTAATTCCATTCTCATTTTCTCAACCGTTTCTTGGATTGTTCTGAAATTTTGTTTACAAACTGTGAATGTCGTTTTCTGTAGACAAAATTTCAGAACAATCCAAAAAACGGTTGAGAAAATGAAGATGGAATTAGGTTTGGCTTGGAATTTTCCCATGTCTAGTACTCGAGGGGGAAAGGTGCCGTAAAAAGGTATAGAGCGTTGTACTATTGTATAGAAGGATACTGTAGTGCATAAAGTATGATTCAGAGAAGTTCCAGGGGCTATTATCTAGACCAAACCGGGCTAGGGTCATAACAGATCTAGGCTTGGGTTCTGGTGAATGTGGACCTGTAGTAAAGCTCAGCAAGGCCAGCTCACGATCAGTTTGGCCTACAGTAAAGCCCAGCCAGGCCAGCGCACGATCAGTTGGGCCTAAAGCTCAGCTAGGGCAGACCAGGCAACGCCAGAAGCCAGATGTACTGTACTAAACGGGTTACGGGTGTACTATATGTTCCTCTAAGTACATGCACTTACCGAACTACTTTTTGGTGACTGTAATCGATTCAACAACAACTTTAATTCAGAAGCTATTCAGCTCTAAAACTGCTCAAATGTTTTATCTAACTGATTTCAGATTCGTCCTCCTCAATCACCATTCTTCAATTGTTCCTGTCAACCGGGAACCTCTGGGCAATTATGTGAAATTAGTAAGTTTTATGGAAAATCTCTTAAAGTTCTATACAACTGTTTGTTCTATACAATTCTATACAAAAAGCACATTGATTCTATATGATTTTAGACCCAGACAACTGTATCTACTCGTACTCGGATGGGGTCAAGTACAGCACGTGTAATCAAACGGATAAAATGGTCAAATGTGTTAGATATACAGTAGCGGACATAATTTTGGAAACTTTTGTTTTTTCTAAAAAATTTTTTTTGAGTAAAATTTGATTCGGTATGTTTACAAGCGAAAATATGTAGACCTAAAAAGCACGTAATAATCCATAGACAGAACTGCTGAACTCTTTGAAAACTATTATTTTTAATGCATTTATCTATAAACCCAGAGGACATAAATTTGGAAACTTTCATAAAAACCTCAGCTATATTACTTTTTTGTTCTATTTTTATCTTTTTAAACCTCTACTAATTATTTTAACTTTTTTTTATAGATGGGCAGCAAGAAAGAGACTTCAACAGAGAAACGCGAAGATGTTGTATGGATGCACCAAAATAGGCAAATGCAGACATTTATCGCTCGATCCCTTGGTCTTTCAAAGAGTACTGTATCAAAAATTTTAAAAAGATACGCTCGAACTGGAACAGCAAATACTCATAAGCATACGGGAAAACACAGAAAGACCACAAAACGAGATGGTTTGCAGATGAAATACTCTTTCAAAGGCTGACCCAAAGCAGTCGTCGGTCGAGATTTACGCCGATTTGCCTGACAAAGTCAAAAAGAAAATTAGTTCAAAGACAGTACAACGTCATTTACGCGGATTTGGATTGTTCGGTCGACGTCCTGCTCATAAGACGCCGATCTCTGCAAAGATTCGCAAGCTTCGAGGCAAAATCACAGAAGAGCATCGATATTGGACGGCTCAACAATGGTCTATTTGCCTCTTTTCGGACGAAGGTAAGTTCGCATTGTTTGAATCTGATGGCTTTCGATATGTTCGTCGTCATGCCAACAAAAGGTTCAGTAAAGGATACGTAATTCCGACTTTGAAGCATGACGGTGGTAGTGATCTTGTATGGAGTGGCTTTTCAGCTTACGGAATGATCCCATTAAAATGCACTGATGGAATTATAGACAAACGTGCTTGCTCGGACATTTTATCGAAACATAAGCTTCCCTCCAGTTGAATGCCTTTCAGTTGATGCCTTCCAACTTTCTTTTTCGACAGGGCAAACATACTTCGAGGGGCTTGTAAAGGACTGGCTTCAGAAGGAAGGAATTATTTTTATGGAATGGCCGAGCCAGAGTTCTGATTTAAACCATATTGAACATCTATAGGAAGTTCTGGAGAGAGCCTGTCAGGCGTTCAGAGCCATAATCTTAATGAAAAATTCGAGCTTTTGGCTAAGAAGTGGATGGAAATTCAAACAACAACCATCGACAACTTGGTCGCTTCGATGAGCGCTCGGTGCCAGACTATTATTGATCCTAAAGGATCTTCCACAAAGTATTGAATTGATTTATTTGTTTTTGTTTTAATTTAGGAGTTTAATGGTTTGTTACGTTATTATTTAGAGTTGCTTTTAAAAGTTTCCAAATTTATGTCCTCTGGGTTTATAGATAAATGCATTAAAAATAATAGTTTTCAAAGAGTTCAGCAGTTCTGTCTATGGATTATTACGTGCTTTTTAGGTCTACATATTTTCGCTAGTAAACATACCGAATCAGATTTTACTGAGAGAATTTTTTTAGAAAAAACAAAAGTTTCCAAAATTATGTCCGCTACTGTATGTCGTAGCCGTTTACGAAATTCAACCGTTAACGAATGATTCGTTAACGGCTGAATTTCGTAAACGGCTACAACAGGGCCAGGATCAAGACCAGGCCAGGACCAGGACCTGGCCGGGACCAGACCAGGCTCAGGCCAAGTTCAGGCCAGGACCAGGCCAGGCTCAGGGTCAAGCCAAATCTAAACATATCTGAACATTTTGAGGTGTTCGTGCATCCAGCTGAAGAAGATATCTTCTCGGCCTCAGTGAGTACAAATGCGCAACCGGGTGGACAAACGGATCTATTTCCGTATATGGTAAGTTCAGTAATAAGTCAAGTATTGTTAGTATTAGAAAATCACATCTTTTCAGACAGCTTACACCCGGCTGGGCGGAGTTTACGGCTCTTGTATCAAGGCTGTGAGCGAAGTGAAACAATATTTCTACACTGGAGCCTATTCGACTGATGTGAGTCGAGTCTAGTTTCATCACTAGCTTCAAATAGTAAAGCATAAGGCTTAATTCTGGTCATGTCGGTGTAGCTCATTGGTAGAGCGTTCCGGCCGGTAAGCGAGAGGTGGTGGGTTCGAATTCCTTCGAATCCGGCGCCGACCATGTTTTGTATTCCCAGCAGAAACCCATGTCCAACTCAATGACACAGCCACCATTTTCCAGGGTTGCCTTCAATCTTGATATCAGCAAGCTGTTGAAGATGCGTGTAGTTGCATGGATCCACGATATCCGATGTCACAAACGGCCAAAGCGTGCAGTTTAACAAATCGTAAGTATTGCTTGAGCAACAATTGGCTACAATCGACTACAATAGACTGGAAGAAGGGTACGATAAGATGGGATTATGGTAAGCTGAGAGCACGGTAGGCTGAGAGTACTGTAGACTGTAGACAAGGGTACAATAGGCTTACCGTAAGTTGAAGTTTTTGAGGCTGAAGCTGAAGCTGAAGAATACGGTAGACTGGGAATACGGTAGGTGTTAAGATACTAGCCGCTCAATTGTTAGCAATGACAATCCACTTTCCATAGGAACCTGTGTCGACGAGATCAGCGAATCGAAAGGCGATCCGTCAACGTGGCCCGATTGTATTTGTCCATTAGCGTGCGAAGAACGACAATATGATGTGATATGGACGAGATCAGTCGACACAAGCACTGTACAGAAGAAATCATCAATTTCTACAAAAATCCTTTAGGATTCCCAATGCGATCAACCGAGCGTCGATCCGGCCCATTCCACGAAAGAAGTGGCGGTAAAATGTTGCATACTTTGAGCTCAAAGAAACACTCTTTCTGGTGCACTGAAGTCTTTCAGTTCCCTCAAGCAAATAAAGAATTGAGTGCGCCAGAAGGAGTGCGTTTGGACGTTTTTTGCCTATCAACCAATTTCATCAGTTTCCAGGACACTGTCCGCGTATCGATCATCATGTCCGACTACAAATTTTCGCTTTTCGCTGAAACCCCAGCTGAGTCAGTAAGTGACAATTGCAGGCTTTTTGAAATTGACATTGGACCATTTGAAAACTATAAAAGGTGACCGGAATACGGTAGCTTCGAAAAACTGCGGAAAAGCGTTAAGTTGCGTAGTTTTTGCCCAAATTTGAAGTGTCAGCGAGGTCTGATTTGTCGAAATTCGGAATCTACGCATACGATTCCCTTCTATGAAAACATTTTTGAAGCTCTACAACCTTTCCTAAGGCCTTTTCCAGCAAAAAAAAAGGTGCGCAAATGTCCAGGTGCGCAAAAAAAAGGTCGCATTTGTCCCACCCCCATTTTTACTCGATTAATCGAGCCAAAATCGGGTATCGACGTGTTTTTTTCGTCGAGTAACTACGAGTAATCCTCTTTACACGAGTAACTACGAGTAATCCTCTACGAGTAATCCTCTTTAAATTGAATATCTTTACATTTGAAGGGATTTGCCACCAAATCAATTAAACAGCTGAATATGTTGAAAAGGAAGCGTATATAAGTCGGTGCTCGTGAATTTTTCGCGTCATTTTTGCAATAATTTTCGCTAAAAGTACGATAATTTTTGCTAAATGTGCGTTTTAAAAAAAACGCACTACTCGCGACGAACACACTCTACTTTTTTTTTGAGCCAGAAAAATGGTTTTACAAGAATCTAAATCAAAATTAAGCAAAATTACTGTAAAAATACACGTTTAACTCTACTAATCCCCTTCTTTTTTCAGCTCAACAACTTCATCGGCAGTCTTGGCGGCTTATTGGGTGTCTTAATGGGTGTCTCAATGATTTCATTCATCGAGATCGCTTTCCTTTTCGTCACGATTTTGCATCACAGCATCACAATTTGCTTTTTAAGCTTTTTCTCTTGTAACTTTTTGTGAATTTTGGTCTTACCACTTTGCTCGTTCAGAATACGAAAATCGCATCATTTTTGCAGCCTTTTTTGATGCTAATCCTAAAGGATTACTGTAGTTAATTGCTACCATAAATTTGAACAATATTAGACCGAAAGGACAGATCAAAAGGACAGAGCAATCGGAGTTAAGCTCTGGATAGACGGGTCTACCGCAATCCGGCAGTTTTAACAGATTTAATGACGTGCAAATGCTCAACTTCCAATACTTTACATGTACTTTTTCACTTTAAAGTATTCAAATATATGCTTAGTACGTTAAATATACAATTAAATGCTAAAAACACCTGACAGTTGCATCATTTGTGTGGAAAAACAATTTCCCCAAAAAACGACGCTTTCTCGTTTTCTAAACTGTGCCCCTTTCTGGCGCGTTTTATAGTCCATTTTTAAATCCATTCATTCATTTGTTTTTTCAAGAAAAACTCCCGAATTTCGCATTTCCGCTGATTTAACGATTTTAAAACAACATTTACTACTTAAAAATGCAAATATTTGGAAATATCGACCCATTAATGCTTCGTCTTTGACGTTTTTAACGGATTTAAAGCTATTTAGTCTAAGAATCCAAGATTTGACCCCTTCCTGTATTCTATTTATTGTTTTGCACACTAACTAATTTTCTCATTTTAGGCTGTCCACGATGAAACGAAAGACCGCATCGAGCCAGCCCACGAAGATTGCCGAGTCAAACGATGAAGAGAAAGAAGAGCTGTACGAAGTCGAGAAAATTCTCGCCGACGCCTTTCATGAAGGGGAGCTTCTCTATCAAACGAAATGGGTTGGCTACGATGAGATGACGTGGGAACCGAGAGAATCGTTCAAAGGATGTCCGCACGTGCTCATGGATTACGAGAAGACAAAGGTGAAGCGGAAGAAGCGACGAGCCCGCTCGTCACGGTCAAAAAGTGGAATGAAGACGCCGACTCGCACGACAAAAGATGAAGAAAAGGATTCCCGAGCTCGTTCATCGATGAAGAGGAAAGCTGCAACGAGCAAAGAAACAAGTCGCGAATCTTCACCGAAGCCGAAAGCTGCAACGAGCAAAGAAAAAAGTCGCGAATCTTCACCGAAGCCGAAAGCTGGTTCAAGAGCTCGTTCAACGACAAATGTAGAATCAACGGTGGAACAAGAAGTGCAAAGTCGTGAGGTAAATTTGCTATTTGTCTATACTATTTATTTGTGTTTATGCTCTACTTAATTATATTTAAAATTTCCAGGGACAAGACGATGGTGTCGGCGACGACGATGACGGCCTCAAAGTCTGCGACCAGTTTGCCATCGCCATTCAAGAGTGCGGGATGCCGCTCGGACCCGGCCGAAAACCAATTACAGCCAGCGACCACTTCGGTATGTCTTTTTTCTTTTCAAATCTCTTAAATCTTGGTTTTAGCGATCGAGCTCGCCAACTTTTGCGAGCAGCAAGCAACTGGCGCCGACATCATGCTTCACATGGATGCCGGCGAGGTGCCTCCGCCTCTGACCGAGCAACGTGCCTTCTCGGCGCTCGATGTTTTGCTGGCTCCGCCGGTCGTGCAACAGACGCTCGCCAAATCGCCGGCCGCCGCCCCAATCGATTGTATCAATTCGGAGAACTCGGAACAACTCAAGAACCACTACGATCTGCAATGCTATGCGACATTAATGTATTTCAAAAAGTTAATTTAATTTTGTTTTGATGTGTTTACTTGGATATTTTTTTGTTGTCTTATTTCATCGATTTTAAAATCTTGAAGCGATAAATTTTCAGTGACAATTGGAAAGGTGGATAACGTGAATATGAAACGATTTGTCAAGCGTAGCTTAAGAATTTTATCAAGGCAGTGGCTTTGCCTGTAATCGAACCAGAAGCTATTTTGTTATGTTTTAACTTTAGAAGCACATACGAATAGGAAAATCTTGATTGGGTGATCCAGAATTGAACTTCTTAACTTTCAGATAAAAGACGAACAATGTTTTTGTTAAATCTTGACAAAATTGCCACAAATTAGCCGAAGAGCTTATTTCAAGCCATCAAATTCAGCGACGTTGCCATATTCTCGGAGCATCATCGGTAACTGTGCTCGCTATGTGTTTTACTATGAAACCGTATCGAATCGCGATCAAAAGGGGATTTCATTCAACGATTCCTCCAACGAAAAGATCAAAAATTTGCTTTTGCCAAAGAGTCTGTAACGATGAAAACACAATCGGTCGGGCCACTTTAATTACGGTAATATCGTTTTTGCACAACCAGTCATTTGCTACATCTCGAGGCTGAGCTTTGTGCGAGTCGTTGATGGATTGATGTATTTAGTCTGTTCTGGATATAAATTTATGCAATTTAAAAATTCAAAAAATAAAAACAATCCATTTCAATAATAAAACGATATTACCATAAGGAATTACGGTAATATCGTTTTTGCACAAACAGTCACTTGCTGCATCTCGAGGTTGAGCTTTGTGCGAGTCGTTGATGGATCGATTAACACCTAAAAGTTGAGAAAATAAAGAGATACATCATAAGTTACGCTCTTTTGACTAAAAACTAAATCCTTTAGTTTACAACAATCAAAAGCTCTTACCGGAAAATGAAAGTCAAACAACGAGTGACTTTTCTTCGCCGCCAACAACAGTCGATCCGATTTCACTTTCAACAAGAGGCTAAATATGAAAAGGCTTTCAGTAGCCATGGTTTATGCACTAGATTTTTCGATGCTAGTTCTCGAAAATTTGATATTTGCAAAAACGTACTAACCTTTCTTTTGAATCGATTCTTTCTGTTGCGGGCAATTCCAATCGAATCTCCAAGAGTTCGCCTCGGAGCCAACGCATCGTCACACCTTTCGGTTGCTCGTAACCATCAAAAGTCTGAAAATATCAATAAGTAACAAAAATCACTCAATCCTAACCTCCTCAGCTTCAGTCTCGGGTGTGATACTTCCAATTTTCGATGTCGATTCTTTTGTTGGCTGTACCTCGGAAATGATTTCACTTTTCTGAAAAAAAGTAAACTCTTTAACTCCAAGAAATTCCCACAAACCCTTGGTTTCTTGAAAATTTGCATCGGTTCGATCACGCCAATCCGCGGCCGTTGCAACTTTAACGCATCGTTTGGGTTGAGCTCGATTTTGTGCTAAATCAAAAGCTGAGTTTATTTGCGCATTTTCCAATAAAATACTTGCCTTATTTTCAATCGCATCACAAACCACCATGCAGATGTAGTGCCGGAAAAAATTCGCCTCCTCCGGTTCCAAGCGTTTCTCGTAGAAGGTCGAGTTCACAATAACATCCACCTAAAAATGAAGTGACATGAGATTTGCTTAACGGATGTTAACACCAAAAACGAACACTCACCTTCAAAGCATTATCCTTTTTATTGTCTTTGATCACATCAATCTCACCGACACTCAACGGAACACGAAATGAGTGATCCCCAGCATCAATACGAGCGGCTAACTGTTGCTAAAAGTTCAGTAAATTATTAGAGATCAATAAGAAATCATTTCCGAACCTCATCAATGTCATCAATCGGTTCCGGAAGTTCTTTGCAATGACAAATGTTCACGAAACATTTTGTCGGCTCTTTGCCCGTCAGCGAATTGTTGTAGGTTGCCTAAAAAGAGATGGCTATGATAAAATATTTGACTCTAGCATAACAGAATCTAATCAAGACAAAATTTTTAAAGAACAAACAGTTTTAAATTTGAGAACATAGCCAGGAATCGGGTAAACCGTCCAAAAATCGTTTCCCTGATTCATCTAGAACGTAGAATTTTTAATATCAAATAAAGCACAAACAAATTTTCCAAAAAAATATCGGGTTTAAAATAAACCCAGAAAAATGATCGCATATACTTAAACTTGAACAATTTATCTTTGAAAAAAGGAAAACCAACAAAAACAAAGAAAAAAAATCACAATGCAAGTGATTTAGCTGTGAATCAACGATTTTAAACATACTCTATGAAAAAAACTTTGATTGGCCCAAATATAGAATTGGTATAGAATTTGATTCGATTGGCCCAAATTGGTATAAAATTTGAAGAACTTCCATCTGGAGTACAATGAGTCGAATGTTCTTATCGCAAACACGTCGCCTCAATCGTTTCCACAGTAATTATTTCATTTTTCTAAAGAATTTTCTATGATTTATCAATTTAAAAATGATGGTCCTAAAATTTATCTATCCACGGATCTATCAACCATCATGATATCTCCATAATATTTTAAAACCGCAAACCCGTAACTCTGTCGAATAGTTGATAACCGCAAAAAGGTCCGGCAATCGCTGTAGACCTTCAAAACGTCTAAAAAATAAATATGCAATAAAAGTGTCAAACACTCAACTGTCAAACTTACAGCGGAAATTGAGATTCGGGAAAGCTCGATCGAGGCCGAGAATGCGTAGAGAAACTCCGATCCTGGTTTGGAGGAGTGGCGGCAACGTTATGATATTGACGAGGAGGAGGAGTAGCGCTGTGATACTGATGAGAAGGGATGGCAAAAGCTGAACCCTGCCGAGCGTATTCTAAATTAAAAGATTAAAAAACTTTCTAATCGTTAATCCATACTTTGTTCCAAGTTTCTTACATTGAAAAGATTATTCTGTCGAAGAAATCCATTTAAAGAACCCTAAAAAGAGATTTCCTTTAAAAGGGACACAAATTATACTGGAGGTGCCCGATTCGCGAAATAAGCTGGCATCAAACGACCCGAGATGATCATTTCTTTGCTAAAACAGAGTAAAGATAATTTTCTCGAAGCCTCAGCTCATATTTAAGCATTGGAATAGATTTATTAAACTAAATATTGTTCTACCTTAATTTTCAAACTTCATAAATCATACATACCGTAACTCATTCTGGTCGTAGCCTGTGAGAGAGTCAAAATATTTGCACATTTTCTCGGTGCCGAGCGCCACGTCAATGTTGTCGGGTTGACTAAATAGAAAATAAATTTTGCATTGCGTGGAATGTCAATTTCTTAACCTTGTCTAATTGTAAGTTTAAGCTTTTTATCTAGACCAAACGCATACTTCAGAATGAATGGACGAAATTCAGGTCGATCATTGAGTGGCTCGAAGATGCGTTTTGGCAAATTGATTGGAACCGGGCAAAATTTCTAAAACGTAGAGTATTGTAAAAAAAAAAGCAAACAGATTGGGAGCGTACCCTAGAGAGTTTCGCGTATTTCTCCAATTTTGGTGGCGGCTCATACGAAGTCGTTGGTTCCTCTTCGAACTAAAATAAAAAAGTTAAATCGTTATATGAAAATTTCAACCTCTTCCCCGCTGTCATTCGCTACGCTAATGGCTTCCATATCTGAAAATATTTGAAAGAATTTTCAAACGTAACGGAGCCCTGCAGAGCTTACAAAAATGATTCATATCAGATTTTACCAGCAACTTTCTAAAAGTAGAGATTTCAAAAAATATCTACAAATCTTCAAAATATGATGTGTTTTACCCTCCCCGCGTAATTTTCAGCCGACTCAAAAAAAAGTTTGTCTAATTCTTTCCAACTTCCCAACCCAACAAGGTAACGTTTGGTAAACCGCAAATTTCTTCAAAACATATTAACATCTTTATTAGTTTACACAAAAAAAAACAAAAACAGGCACACAAAGAATATCACAAAAATATATCTAATCCCAACGAATAAAATATAAACAGGCAACACTCTTAAAAACACGAAACACGAAAATAAATAGTGCAAAAGAAAAGAAACAAACAATGATCGGATCAGAAAATGGCAAGCAGCGCGAAGACCGAATACAGTAACACACATGGATAGGCGACGAGTAATCGTTGATGATCGAGCTAAAAAATAAAAATGAGAATGCCTAACACTTATAGCTTTTCATCAGCCATTTAAAAGCGCAAGTCAAAACCTTTTACCTGTAAAGCTATCACAAACAACTTCGATGAAGCCACCGAGCACCATAGTACTGCCAACAACGACACCGAATAGCCAATAATACCCTATGAATTGTATACTTTAAGAACACTCCAAAGGTTACCTTAAATGAAAGCACCGCACACATAAGACTCAAGAGCGCCATAGGTAGCAAACAATATCCGAGTACCGAGGTTGTGCATGTGAAAGAGATGCTCTTATCACCTAAAATTTACAAGACTAATTTAAAATCCCCCTTCAATTTGAGTTATAAATCCAAAATCAATGGCAACAATCTATACCTGCCATCAAATTCATTAGAGCATACATGCCCACACATCCGAGAGCACCAATGCCATAAATGTAGCCAAACTGCATTTTCCCGTGTAGCAAAAGTGCAGCACCTAAAGCGACAAATGAAGCCAAGTTATCATTACACTCGAGATCAAAAGCAAGTCTTTTCCGCGAAAACCTACCAAAAAGAAGACAAAATACGAGCGGACCAGCGAGATCTTGATCAGCTATCACATCCACCGATGCACCTCCCATCGGATTCAACACAGCAACCGTTTTCTCCTGAAGAAAAAAATATACAAAATATAGTCCAGTAAAATGAATAGTCAACACATTTAAGAGTTCCCATAGATTCACCTTAATATGTGAAAAGTTGATGCCGAGTTCCTCGAGAAGTGGGGGTTCATTCTCGAAATCCTCAATTCCCTCATTGCCAGCTGGTGCTAAAAGTTTCAGGTTGATCATTCAAAACCCTCAAAGCACACCCGGTTGCTGTCCTGGAATGAACATGTTCCCTGACTGTGGATATCCACCATATGACGATTGCTGAGAGTAGTAGTTGTTCGCTAAATAGAAAATTATCTATTTAAAATTAACGCCGATGATCTTACCTGGGTTCGGCTGTGGCGCACTCGGTTGTTGTGGCTGCGAGTAGTCGAATTGTCCCCAGCCCATGTCTTGGCTGCCAGTCGTCGATTGCTGTTGGGCATACCTAGAAAAAAAGATGTAATATTCTCAACTGAAAAACCAAATAAAAAACTATAGCAATGTCCAAAAAAAAATTTCTAATTTAAAACCTACCAATCATTTTGATTTTGATTGTATCCACTCCAATTCTGTTGTTGTTGGTCATCGCCCATCCAATAGCCACTCCCCGATGCCATCTAAAAAGGAAAGTGATCATAAAATTGTAAAAAACACGCAAATTTGATGGCAAACAAAAGTTGCTTGAAGAGAATTGGTTGAGGTAACTTATTTCAGGCTAGGAAGGAAATTTGCTGGAAGTTTTTGCCAACACCATATAGAAACCGGGTGTACAAAGGATGCTGACGGAAATTCTTACGAGATCAACGTAAAAAAACAACTTCCGACATAAAAACCAGTCTAGCAATTTTAAAAGTAGTTTTCAATATTTTCCGGATTTTCTACACAAAAATCATCCGCAACGTCATCAATAACAAAATTGGTTTATTAAAAACCACTACATTTAACAACTGTACATTTAACAAACATAAAACTTTCAATAAAACGATGCTAGATGGTGTAACAAATAAAAAATTGGCAACAACAGCAATAAATAGTTAAATGTGCATTAATCTAGACTAGACCAAGACTTTAGTGAAAGCTTGGGGAACGAAGATATGATCCCTTTTTCAGCGACCTCTTTCGAAAAGACAAAGCGGAACGCTGCTTGATCATACGAGAAGGCGGGATTTCGACTTCATCATCTTCTTCCTCCTAAAACACCAGAGATCGTTCCAATAATATTTGACTACAATTAAATTTATTGAATCTATCACATTTATCATGCTTTTCCAAAAACTGACCGTCTTTTCCTTATCATATCCACTCTTTGGACGAATAAAGTAGGTGGTGTGGCTGATTTTCGGGACTCTAGCGCGGAGATGCTGTGATTAACATATAAAACGTCCTAATTTGTAACACCACGGTTGAGGTAAATCTATTCTACCAAAAAACCACCAGTTCTTCTGTGTCCTGCTTTAGCTCCGAATCGTCAAAATGTGGCTCTTCGGCAAGACGCCTAAAAGTATGTCTATTAAAAAGGATTTTTTAGTCTTTTGAGATACGTTAATGACGTAAGACTGTAGATTGTATACGAAAATAAATATTTCCCTACTTTTCTCCTCTTTTTTGAATGGCCATCATGTGATCGTAGTCAATTTGTCGTCGTTCGTCCCGTGTCAAAGATGCATAGCTCGTCGGTAGCTAGAACAAATCAAATAACCTCATTAAACTTTTGACTTTTTAGATTACTCAAAACTTACTCCAAAAATTGGTCGTGCCCACTTGTGAATGAGCTTCTGTGCAAGCCTTTTGTTCTCCGCACTCTCTTTGGGGTGCTTGGAGATTGCCATCACCTCTTTTCCCATTCCAGAACAACGAAGGGTTTCCTGAAAGCTTAGCAATAAAAAAATCGCTGTGAAACCATAAACTAACTTGTTCCAAATCATATTGCTGCAGAAGTTTAAGAATTGTCGTACGAATATCTAAGCTGGGAAGAGTATTATCAGGAAGAAGGCTCATCCAGTCGGCCAGGACAGCAATCATTCCGTTGTCGATTAGTGCATCGAATAGTTCAGACTAAAAAATTCGTTAAAATTCCTATAATACATAAGTCTCTACCTTCAGTAGCATTTCCTTAACCTTGGGAAGCAGCTTGAGTTTTTTCAAAGCTGGCACCTTCATTTCATATGACTGACGATCATTCTAAAAATTCAAGTGTTTAAACCTTGAAAGTAGGTGACAATTTTTTCGTTTACCTGAGCAGCCAATTTCATGGCATCAACTAATTTGACAATTTTATCGTCGTTGTCATTGATCACTTCGCAAGTTGGGAAAAATCTTCGACGAGCTCGTTCCTTTTTCTTTCGTTCCATCATCAAATCGAAATCCCAGGCGCAACTAAAATAAAAAAAAATATATATAATATTGGTTTTATCAAGAGAGCTCAGCTAAAGAAGGATTCAAATTTTCTCACTTGTTATTTTCAGTGCTTTTGCTTGGCTTGTCGTCATCGCTCATATCCTATGAAAACAACATAGAACCGTAATGTGAATCAACTTACCGGAAGAAAATCTCTGTCATTGGTGTTCTCAGCAAGCGATTCGACCTAAAACGTTCTAATTTGTGATTGCTTACAGGGCTTGCATTTAAATTGTTTAAAACTGAACACTTTAAGACCTGTCTCTATCAAACGTACTTTTAACTGTTTTTCAGCATTGTTTTCTAACTCTTGTTCAACCTCGTCTTCAAACTGCTGTTTAACTTCTCCAGGCTCAAGATTCTCCTCCTAAAGTGTAATTATGAAATATCGAGTTCTAAAAATTTAGCAAACCACAACGATTGATTCGTTCATCTTTGTTAAATTAATGCGCAGCTTTATTGGGGCAATCATCGCCATCTCCTTCTCTTGGTCATTATTTGGCGTTTCTTCCACTGGCGGATTGTGGTGACCGAGTGAAAGTCGCTAAAAAAGTGCATTAGTGAGATTTGCGAAGAATTCGAACGGCCTGGCGTGCTAAAACCTTCACATTTCGCATAGGATTCACTTCTTAGGCAAATCTAGATTTAATTTCAAAAATACAAAAAACCCACCAAAACGATTCGCTCATTCTTTGCAGGGCTTTTGGGAGTGTCGAGTTCCATAGCCTGAACACTGCATTTGAAAAGGATTTTGATTGGACTTAATGTGCAAAAAAAACTGAATAAACTTTACAGAGTATAAATCTACTGTAAACAGTTTCACGCTGCGCACAGAACTGAAAATTGGCTTCCAACCACTTCAAAATCTTTCCACAAAGCCTCCCAGAACATTTATTGAGTGCACAAAGGAATCACAGTAGCAGAAATAGAATAAATATTTACAAGAAAAAAGTTTATCATTTCCATGTTAAGGCGAGAATTTTTGTTAACGAGTAAAGTGAATCAGCAATATCGGCGACAAAAGAAGAGACATTTAATCGATTCAGAAGAGATCCGGACAACGAGACCAATCACAACGAGTCTTGCACTCCCAATACTCGGAAGTGAACCTAAAAGAGAATATATGGAATTCAGAAGCTCAGAGCTTACTTGTGCAAAGTGTCGCCAGTAGTCTCATCTTGCTCTTTCGCAAACCACAACGGTTCGCAGTCAGCATATGGTAATCCTAAAGAATACTGTTCAAATGTTAAATACCCAACAGGATGAACCATTTTTAACGGCTTCTTCTTTTTCCTGTTCTCGTTTCTTCGCCCGAGCACGTTGTTTATCCTCAACTTCGATTTTCTTCGCATTGGCTTCTTCCCACTGAAAATTAAAACTTAACATTGATACAATTAATATCAACACTACAAACCCTTCCTTCTTCCAAAAGTCGTTGATCAGGTCGTAAACGACTATCCGTGGGAG